TCCCTAAGTCTTGCTGGACAGCCAGGCTAGTTTAATCCATAAGCCCAGGTCCCAGGTGAAAGATCTGTTTCAAAAAATAAGGTGGGACTGGCAAGATTGATCAGTGGTTTACCTGCCATCAAGCCTGATGACCTGAGCTCGATTCCTGGGACCTACCTACATGGTGAAAGAAGAAACTGACTTTTCCAAGTTGTCATCTGACTTGTACACATGTGCTGTGGCATGTATGTCCACACACACACACACACACACACACACACACACACACATATACAAACATACACGTGAAATAAATAAAAAAACAAGGTGGATGGCTCTTGAGGAACCACACCTGTGGCCAACCTCTGGCCTCCACATGTGCACATACATACATACATACATACATACATACACACAAAAACATGAACATGCCCACCCCACTCTCCCTACCCAAGACATGAATAAAGAAAAAAATGAAAAGAACCGGGTATGGTGGTGCATACTTTTAATCTCAGGACTCGGGAGGCAGAGGCAGGCAGATCTTTGTGAGATTGAGACAACCCTGGTCTCCCTAGTGAGTTCCAGACCAGCTGGGGCTACAAGGAGACCCTGTCTCAAAAAGACGGAAAAAAAAAATACCCTGCCGGGTATGGTGGCACATGCCTTTAGTCCCAGCACTTGGGAGTTTGAGGCTAGCCTGGTCTACATGGTGAGTGCCAGGTCAGCTGGGGCTACTGGGAGACCTTGTCTCAAAAAGACAAAGGAAAAAAGAAAAGAAAAGGCAATATATAGACTGGAAAAAATATTCACAGCACACACATCAAAGGGTTTGACATAAATGTATACATAGGTCACCTACTTAATAATAACAAAGCAAACCAATGACAAAATTTACAGATTTCAATGGATACTTCATATCGATGACATGACAAAATGCAAATTATTTGTTACTAGGGAAATGCAAATTCAAATCTTAGTAAGATGATGTATAATATGTAGAAGGTTAAAGTTAAAAACTGCCAAGTGGGACTGGGGAGCTGGCTCAGTGGTTAAGAGCACTGACTGCTTTTGCAGAGGACCCAGGTTTGTTTCCTAGCATTGACATGGTGGCTCAACCATCACACACAGCTGTTCATAGCACCAGTTCTAGGGGATTCAACGGCCTTTTCCGAGTTCCGTGGACATTGCATACATGCTACACTTCTGTATCAGATGCAGGCAAAACACCCATGCATGTAAAATAAAAATAAATAAATCTTGGGGGGTGGAGAGGTCAAATGTTGGGGAGGATATGAGACACAGACAAAGTGTCACACTTTACTGGTGAGACTGCAAACCATCTTGGGAAATGGCTTGATGACACCTCCTCTTCCTTCATTGTGTGTGTGTGTGTGGGGGGTGTAATATGTGTGTGTGCACGTGGTATGTGTATGTATATATATGTATGGAGGACAGAGGTCTACATTGGGAGTCTTTTATTACTTCCCATCCTTTTTTCCCCCCAGAACTAAAACATATGTTATTTATTGAGGGTAAGAGGATGCTAACAATATAAAAATCAAAAGCTTCTCCATCATTCAATGATCCTTTCTTTCTCTGCTTGTCACACTGGCTTTGGGTGCTATTTGGACTTTTCCTAAGGGTCCATGTGAGAAACTGTGGGGCAGGTTCCTTAAGTGACTCTGTGGGGGAATCTTACCAGGGTGGGAGCATCACTGCTTGGTTTAGACTACTTCCCTTCTGCTTCATGTGAACTATAAAATAGGCATTGCATGCAATGATGAGCCTGCAGCTGATGATGAAAAGCTCTGGATGGCCACTTTGCTGTCCAGCCCTTCACTATTTTGTCCACAGCCAGAGGGTCCTTTTGGTTTCTCTAAAACCCCAGGGAACGCCCTTTTCGTGGGTATGCAGGTCCCCTTTCATTCAGTAGTCTTTATCTCCAGCAAATTTGTGAAATGTATCACAGTTTCTGTGGTATGTTCCATTTGAGATGACATTTTGAAGAGGTCTATTGAAAACCTTAGTCCCCAAAGCAGCAGTAACTCAGAACTCAGAACCAGTTCTGAGAAGGCACTCGGTCCCACCTTAGTTTTGAGACGGGATTGCTCACTGAAACTGGAGCTCACTAACTGACTAGATTGGAGAGCTAGTGAACTGCCTCCCATCCTCCTATCTTCACCTGTCAGAACTGGAATTACAGGTGCACTGCCATGTCTGACTTTTTATGTGGGTGCTAGGCATCCAAACTCAGGCCATGTTTGTACAGCAAACACTTTACCCACTGAGCCATCTGTCTCCCCAGCTTCCTCTTCCCCATTCTTTTTTTTTTCTCTTCCCCATTCTTGATAAAGTTAAACTTACATACAACTAATAATTCCACTCATAGATGTTTGCCCAAGAGAAATGAAAATATGCTCATACAAAGATTGTACGCACATTTTTGCAGGAACTTCATGAATAATAACAAAAACTTGGTCACAATCTAAATATCTGTAAACAAGTGAAAGTTACACATTATATTCATACCATGGAATTCTATACATCAGAGATGACCTAACAGTTTAAAATGCTTGCTGCACAACCAATAGGACCGGAACACCAGTCCCAGCACCCACATAACAAGACAGGTATCCCACACATGCCAGTAACCCCAACTCCTAAGTGAACAGAGACAGGAGGATTGCTGGGGCTTGCTGGCTTCCAGCCTAGCCAAGAAAATGTGACCTCAGGTTCAGTGAGAGACCCTACCTCAAACAAATAAGGAGAGTGATAGAGAAAGTCATTGGACACCTCCTAGACTCCACACACACATGTGCAAATACATTCTCTCTCACATACAAATAAATCACTTTAAAATGAATACAAATACAGATGGGCTGACAAGAAAGCACTCTGTATCCTGGGAGTGGGCTGACATAGATAGAAGAAGTTGACTGTGAAAGGGCACAGGAAACATTTCAGGTTGATGATCTGCTTCATCCCTTCCTTGTGCTACTGGTTACATGCATGACACAGAACACTTAAAGTGAGTGCCCTTTAGTCACTATAAGCAATGCTAAGATAACGTGTAGATCCTTGTCCTAATAAACCAACTGCAACGTATATATGTGTATATTGTTGTAATCACCGGTAATTATTTTGTGGGTATATTACAGGGAGAGAAGAAACCTTTCTATTTTACCCAGTTTATGCAGTGCTGGGGATGGAACCCAGGGCTTTGCTATGCAGGCTGCTGGGAGAGGAAAGATATCAATGGCATCCCTGTAGTCAACCCTACATGCTACAACACCAACCTGTTAGACAAGATGGTCCCACTGGTGCAATAGTGGTGCAAATGATATGGGGCAACAAACTGCTTTTGAATTGGATTTGAGGTCTCCTCCATAGGAAGAAATTCAGGTCTGGTACTGTAAAGCTGATCAAAAGCCTGATGACTCAGGAGGTCACAGGTTCTAGGTAGGAACCTACAACTGTTGTCAAACAGACTTTTAAATATTTATGTTTATACCCATAGATGAATACTGCCCTCAGCTTTGGCCACAGAATCTTCTCTCTGTAGTGGTCAGCAGTTAATATAGAAACTCATAAAAGTGCTAAGAATGACTATTGAGTGCTTAGCTATAAATGGGACACTTGTATCACTCCCCCCTCAAGGCTCAAGGAATATCTATGAAAGGTGGAAAAAATGTAAGAGCCAGAGGATGCAGATGAGTGCTGTGAAATGCTGCCTTCCAGACATGACATGGCCATTGCATCATGAGCTCACTGCAACTATGGCTACCTGCATAAGATTAAACAAGATTAGCCAACATTCCAACAGGCAATGCTAATTGGACTCAGTGTGTTATTGGCAAAACCAAAAAAAAGGGGGTTATGACTTGTTGGAAATGCCTGAGGGGAGTGGGTGGGGGGTGGAGGTACATATTGCATTGTTTATATGCATGAAATTGTCAAAGAATAAATGCAAGATATTCTATTATGGCAAAAAAGAATCAGGCACAGTGCATGTCTATCTCTGGGGTACTCCAAAATATTACACAGCAGCTCCCCACTCTTGTGCAATGACTTGATATCCCCAGGTGCATGTACTTCCATATCAGGATCTGAATACTTGTTCAGCACTGGGGAACCTGAAGCATGATCATTAGTTTGAGGCCAACCTTGGCTATATAGAGTTCAAGGTCAGTCTTGTACAGGGCTACATTAGACCCTGCCCCCCCATAAAAAAGTGAAAATGAAAATGATCAAATAGGTGAAAGTTTGAGGAGTGACATCAAATCTGTAGTCTCAATGTATATCTTTATTAATTACCGAAGGAAATTAGTAACTTTATAGTGGAGAAATCTCAGACTCCACCTTAGCTGTATGATGAACATTTACGTCATCAATAATGGGACAAATTGACATTCAGTGCCTGCTCATAGGATGCAGTAAGAACTGGGTATCACTTTAACTGAATCTAACTAGAAGATATAAGAGCTCACATGAACGGACAAAATAACTGGCTAGTTGCCTTAAAAAACGTCAGTGTCATCAAACACCAAGAAAGAGGAACCATCCCTGGTTATAGGAGATGACACGGATAGAACTGGATGTCACACACGTTGTGGGGGCCAAGTAAGCAAAGGCTCTCTGACTTGCACCGACGGATGCTCGGAAGCCGTTTCCAGCCTCAGTTCCCTCCTCTCAAGGAGGAGCAGGTTCTCGAACATGATTCCTAAAATCGGCTCCGAAGGAAACTTTGGGAAAAAGAATCGGGCGGAGGATCTGCGCAGCCGCCGCCTTCCCGGCGCTCCCGGGGCAGCGGGCCTTAGGCCAGCGGGGCGGGGCGCACGTAGGGCCAGTGCCGCGGACGTTGCGCTGGCTGGCCAGGCGGGAGCGCTCCCGCAGCCCGGTTCCCCAGCGCCGCCCTCAGCCCGGTTCTGCCGCCCTCCTGTGGTCGCCGCAGGGCGACCTCTGGGCCGCCGGGCCCCTCCCTCGGTCGGTGACATCACTGCATTCCAGCTCGGGCTCCTCCCGCCGCGGCGCCGCAGCCGCAGTGACAGGCGAGCCCGTCTGGGTGACGAGGGCAAGTGCGGGCCGTGGCGAGCCGTCCCCGCGCAGCCTGCTCGGGGCGGCGAGGGTGACAGTTGCGGCCGCCGAGTGCAGCGCGGGCAGAGCTCAGCTGGGCGGAGGCTTCAACCCAGACGCGGGGAAAATGGCTGATGACTTCGGCTTCTTCTCGTCGTCCGAGAGCGGGGCCCCGGAGACCGCCGAGGAGGACCCGGCGGCCGCCTTCCTGGCCCAACAGGAGAGCGAGATTGCTGGCATCGAGAATGATCAGGGCTTCGGGGCACCTGCCGGCAGTCAGGTGGCCTCGGCGCAGCTGGGACTCGCGAGCGGGGGTGAGTCAGCGCAGTGGCCTGGAGCTGGGGACTGAGGCCGCCACCTGGGGCCGGGAGGCTCAGGCTCTGCACAGACCCAGCCTGGGTCCGCGCAGTGCCCAAGAGCCCTGCCCTGCAGGCTGGCCAGGGGCCTGTGTGTGTCCGTGGGGCCTGGGGACATAGCGAGGAACTGGGAATCCCCACAGGTGGAGTCTGCCCTGAGACTGGATCCGCAGACGGGGACAAGAATTTGCTCATGCCGTTTTATCTCTAGCTTAGCTCTTCCACTGTCTGGCTCTGTCACCACCCCCCCCACTCCGTTCTAAGAGTGAGTCTTGAGTCCCAGGCTGTCCCAGGCTCCCAGCTAAGTGGTGCAGGTGTGGGAAGAACACAGGTTAGCTTTCAGGCAGCTGGGAAAGCAGGACATAACAAGAACTCTTCAGATCTTCCTGGGGACCGCCTGCCATCCTGCAAGCCATGAATGAGACTGGTTAATTACATTTAATAATTTCATACACACTATTGAACTCACTTCTGAGTAGGGAACAGGAAGCCTCCTCAAAAGGCAAACAAAACAACTAGGAAGTGGCAATCAAGGATCAAACTCTGTCAGACTGAATCCCTTAAGGTCTTGACCATGCAGTCTTCCATGTGCCTGGCCCTGGTTTGAGTTTATAGCAGTCTACTTAATGACTTTCTATAGGTGATCCAAAACCATTCAGGGTGATTCACCCATTCAGGGTGGCCTGTTTTCTGCAGTATCATGTTTATTATTCTGATCAAAAGAATAATTTCTTATAAATATTTAGTAAAAACGCAGTACTAGGACACTCATAGGTACATTCCAAACAGAACTTGTTGTTTTGTCATTTTAGAGAGGTTTATGGGCCTGTTGAGTGTGTGTGTGTGTGTGTATGATGTTCACAAGGCCCTTTGTATTTCTATTCATTCAACATTTTGCTGAGCACCTTCTGTGTGCCAGCCCCACTGGGGAAACAGAAATGAAGAGTTTCTAAGGCTAAGGAGTTGAAGCAACTTTATATCAAGGTGATATGAGATGATATGATCACCTTGATATGAGAAATGTAGTAAGCCTTTTGTAACATACAAGAAACTGGATTTCGGGGGCCATTAGGATGGCTCAGTGGATAAAAGCACTTGCCTCCAAGCTTGACACCTTAGTTTGTTCTCCAGAACCCACATGGTAGAGAGAGCAGACTCCCACAAGTTGTCCTCTGACCTCACACACACTTGTACATCACACACATAAATACATACACACACTCTAGATAAATACAATGTAATAATAATAATAACAATAATTAAACTGGAATTTGTATACCTTGCCCAGAGTGATAGATCTGGGACTTGATTACAGGTCTCCTAACTCTCTGTGCTCTTATGTTTTTCCAAATATTATGTTGTGCTCCCTAGAGTTGATTGGATGTGGCAAGGAGAGGCAGGGGTCTATCTAACCAAGCCAGCCATACTGGTCTTCTGAAATAACAGCTCACAGCCTCCCAGTATGGCCCCGCCAATGTCCCAGGAAACCTGCCAGGTTCCTGCATGGTACTCACTTGTTCACACCCTTGGGGACACTCCTTTCCCTCATTTGACCTGGCTGGTTGCAGGAGGCCCCAGGTGGTCAGAACCTCATGAGAGAGGACAGGTGGAGTTTGGGTTAAGTGTGGCCAGAAGGGTCTGGGGTCTGAGCAAGTGAGTGGTGATTTTTCCAGAGACTTACAGCCTGGAGGGATGGGGCACTGATTGGTCACAGATCTGAAATGATGGAAAGAGAAGCAGTGGGTGACATCCTTCAGGGAGCTGCCAGGGACACAGCTCTCTGAAGATCTCCAAGACTCACACCTGCTAGGGTTGCAGATGCTCAGCTGCCCTCCTGAGTGGTAGTTGTGGGAGCAGGGACATACTGTAGGAGGGGAGCTCAGTGGGTGTCCAGGCACAAATCAAATGGATCTGACTCTCCTAAGCCTAGGCAGTGCTACGCAGCCTCCTCTCTGAGCAGGAGGGAATGCCAGGGGCCTGAATGGGCTGAGGGAAAGGGTCTGGGTCTGCTGGGAGATGGGTGGAAACTGGCTCCAACAGCAGCCATTCTATATCTCTGAGTCACCTCCCATTAGATGATGGGGTCTTCTAATAAGCAGGCCCTGTGCTGAGTACCTTAATGCTCTCAGGGGTCCCCAGGGAAAGAGGTATCTGGTGTAGGCCTGAGCCCCAGCCCCTCTAAGGTGTTCTCTAGGCAGATCTGCAGCCAGCCTGAGCCATAGATACTTTGTTTCCATTCATCAGCCTTGGGTAGTGCCCAAATGGTCTACACTTTCACACCCAGTTCTCTGGGCTCAGGCCTGACTGTAACGTGTGGATTAGCTCTACAGAATCCCATTTCTCCTGCTGGGCCTCAGTAAGCTCATAGGAATGTTCTAGATCCTTTATTTCAAAATGGGCCAGGCATCTGGGGAGGCCACACACTCAACAGCTTATCCCCGGGATTTGTATTTGCTTTACTGTGTTTGTTCTGCTGACTCTGTTGCCGACTTAGGATCATAAATGTCTAAGAATCAGAGAGCATTGTAAAGTAGATACTGGTGATTCTGTGCATGGGGGGGTTGGGCTTGGGAGGGAGGTTCCCAAGGAGGCTGACACTCTTCAGTCTTTCTAGAGATGAAGGTGGGCACCAGGCAAGTTGTGTGACCTGCTGAGGAGGGGTCTGAGATGGGGGCAGGTCTCTCTGAAAGGCTGTGCCTGCAGGCTCACAGCATCGGGAATGGACCCTGGTAATATAAGGCCAGGTAGAAGAGATGCCCCAGAAGATGCCCCTGTGAGGATGCTGACACTGATACCCTTTTGGACTCACCCCCATTTAGAGACCAGGCCACCCCTGCAGTAGAAAACCTGAGTGGGTGAGGTAACAGCTGCTATAGTAGATCAGGCTCAATCACTGCTTGACTCTGCAAAGTCCGTTATAATTTACATCAGTGGCACATTATTGCCATGAGTTTCAGTATCCCCCTTCAGTCCTTTCAGGCTTCAGAACAAAAGTTCTGCTGCTTCTCACAGCCCTACAGGGCTAGCTGTCCTTCTGTGGTAACCACACATTGCCTCCGATAGACACTGTGGTTTCAGGGAGGCCTTGCAAATTACAATGGGCACCTAAAGAGCAATTCAGTTTTTATTTGGCCATCAATTGCTGTTCACTCATTCTGTGCAGGAGCTCTTAGGAACAAACAAATATTCAGAGCCTGATACGGGAGTACATGCACCTGGTGATTCTGTGCATGGGTGTGGGGGTGGGTGGGGTTCCCAAAGAGGCTGACGCCTCATTCTGGAGGTGAAGATGGACACGAAGATGGGCACCAGGCTCCTCAGCAACGCTCAGCAGTGTGGCCTTGCTGGGGATGGGGTCTGAGATGGGGGCAGGTGAGGGTAGAGAGGAGTGCTGCAACTTCACCAAGTCATTACACAAGAGTGCGGGGTGCTGTGTAGTGTTCTGGAGCACCCCAGAGATGAGACCTTCTTTTAGTACCTAGAGAAGCAGAGGAAGCAGGTAAAGGCTCCCTAGAGGAGGTGACTTGTGTACTGTACCTTGGAGAAGGAGTAGATCCAAAAAAGTACTCTGAAAAATATTTTTTATTTTATGTATATGCGTGTATTACCTGCGTGTAGGTAAGTGCACCCATGTCGTGTAATGCCCGTGGAAGACAGAAGAGCCTGTCAGATCCCCTGGAACTGGAGTTACAGACAGTTGTTATCTGCTATGTGGGTGCTGGGATTCGAACCCGGGTCTTCTGCAAGAACAACCAGTGTTCTTAACCACTGAGCCATCTCTCCAGCCCCTAAAAAAATTTATTTATTTTTCTTTTATGTGTATGAGTGTTTTACCTGCATGTAAGTATATCCATGTCATGTAGTGCTCATGGAGCCCAGAAGGGGGTGTGGAGTCCCCTAGAACTGGAGTTATGGACTATTATTAGCCACCATGTGGGTGCTGGGAACCAAACCAGGGCCCTTTGCAAGAGCAATCAGTGTTCTTAACCACTGAGCTATCTCTCCAGCCCCACTCCCCAAAAAGTACTTTTTAGAGCATACCATTAAAAAAGAATTCATTTGTTTACTTAGCAACTAGTGGTTGAACTTGTACAAAAAGGCCCAAGTCCCGTGCACAGGCATGGCTCTGAAGAAGACAGTCATGGTGCTCTTCCAGGTATTTGCCACTATCAGGACAGAGAGCCCAAAGCGAGTGTGCAGGTGTGAGATGGTGAGGGCACAGGCTGGGCTGAGTATCAGGAAGAAAGTGGACGGCAACTTTGAGGGCCACTGCTGCAGCAGAAAGTACAGGTGATTTGTGACTAATTGGATATTATACAAAGAGATTGGGAGGAGTCAGGGTGAAGGCAAAATGGAATCATTCTGGGAGGGGCAAAGAGGAAAAATAGGCCAAGTGTTGCCCAGGGGGAACTGTGAGTCCTGCTCTCCCAGGTAGAATGGTTTCTCAAGGCTCCACCAGGACATGCAGAGACTCAGGCCCCTTTCTTCCTCATCCCTGGTGGCCTCTCCCTGAGCCTGCAGTGCCTCTGCTTACTAGGCCTGGGCTCCACAGTTAACTTCAGGTAGGTAAGGAGCTGTGCACTGGCTGGGTGATCTTGAGCAATCACAGTAGCCTTTCTGAGCCTCTACTTGAGAATCTACAAAATGGGTCATTATAGGGCTGTGGTTTTAGCAGAAGTTAAGTATGACAGTGGCTGTGCAAGGCACTGGGAACAGTCAGGTACTGAACTTCAGTTGTCCATGTGTCCATTATGTCTTAGGGGGAGGGTTCAGGATAATTATGTGTATACACAGTAGCTGGCTCCAGAGGTTTATGTAGGACCATTCTGTGCTTATAAGCTAGACAGTGGGTGATGATGTCTCTTTGCTCTTTCCAGCTGGTTCTGAGGACATGGGGACTACAGTCAATGGAGATATGTTTCAGGTAAGCAGAGGTGGGACTGAAGGTCTCAGTAACTTGTGGCTCCATCATTGGTCATTTAGGGGTTCAAGTGCTGGTCTTCATGTCTGCTATATTGGGGTGGGAGCAGAGAGAAAGATTTGACATGTTTTCTTGTCATGTGGGGGAGGGGACCACTGGAGCAGGGACTGATGAGGGGTAGCTCAGGTTGTCCTCTGGGATATCTAGCTTCAGTGGGGAGGGATAAAGTGACCCACAGTGGCATGGGATGAGGAAATACAGGGCTCTGCCTGAGTATGTACTCCTGGTGGGAGGCTGACCTGACTGGTCATCTCCCACACCTATGAACACTTTCTAACTGGGCAGGTCCAATGATACAGAGATTAAATGTAGAATTTTCCCTAAGCAAATAATTGGAAAAGGATACCCAGCTTCTCTGCACGATGATTTATAATAATAGACAAAATAGAAATTACCTATGTGCCCAGAATCAGGGGTTGGGTCTGGGTAGACAGACTGGAAATCAAAGCTTTTGATACAAAGGGTGTCAGAACATCTGTACTAATAGGCATAGATGCCCTTAATATATTAAGTGAAAAAAAAAGCAACTTGTACAATAATGTGCACATTATGGAACTGTTTTTATTCTTTTAATTTTTGCACAAAATGTTAGGAAAAAGGTATTCGAGTTGTTAACAATGGCTGGCTCTGAGAGTGAGAGGCCCAGAGTTCCTGTCTCTATCACAGGGAACCAGGGTAGGTGTGGATGGGAGGGCGGGGGGCGGTATTTCTCGTTAAAGACAGTTTCTCAACTGGGGATATAGCTCAGTAGTGAAGCTCTGAGTTTCATTTCCAGCATCACAAAACCAAAACAGAACAAAAACATAATTAGACTGAGAGTACCCATTTCTAATGAATCTTCAGAACCCCACTGATGTACACACAGACCTTACCCTGCCCACCCTTCGATGCCTGGGTGGGGTTCAGGCTCTACCACCTTAGCTTTAGATCTCAACTGTGAGTTGGCCTGACACCGGGTCTTAGGGACTGCTGCTTCCGGGTCTCCTGAGCCCCACCCTGTGGAGGAGTTGGCCTCTTGGATCCTGGGAGAATAAACAATACTTTCTTATGTAAGTGGGATGGGCTGGTACCTTACACAGGAAAACTGGCCTAGCCCCATTTCTGGAAAATTACTCAACTCTCTGCAAGTTATAAAAGTGAGTCTCTAAGACTTCAACAGCTTTGTGTCTAGGTAAATCCAACAGTGCCACAGGATCGTTTTTCTTGTACTGTTAGAAGATCTTTTGAGACTTAGGTTACTGGACTCTAGGCTCACAAGAACTTTAATTGGCTCAAAAGCTTTATGTTTTAAAGTGGACCTGGAGTCAGAGATATACTTGGAACCACATGAGTATCTGGAACATTCTGAGCAGGATACTTTTATTTTTCAATTGATTAGAAGCTTTAGGTTTAGAGAGGTTGGAGAGACTTATGTGAAGTCTCACACACAGTGAAACTGGCCATTTCTAGAGTTTTTCTCACTTGGTTGGTATGCCCCCCACCTTGCCCTGCCACCCCCCTTCGTATTTGGGGATCTGAGGAACCCATTCTCGGCATGAGTTCTTATTCTCTCTGCTAGCCTAATGCTTCTGGGCATGTTTATTGTGAATCATTTTGGTCAGTGCCATCTTGGAATCCTCCCAGGCAAGGGAGGGCCATGGAACAGGCAAGTCACTGAGAAGCTTAGTAGCAAAGCTCCTGATTACCTACATGAACTGATCCTAGATGGGGTGTACTCTGGACTGTACCAAGCACTGTTGCTGGACCCAGAAAACTATCTTCAGGACATGTATTTTCAGGGAAAGAAGTCTTGCAAAGTCAGCACATTCAAGGATCCCTGGCAGAGCTTTTGTGCCTCAGTCTTTTCTGGCAGACTGTAGGAGGCCAGCTACAAACCTCATCCCCAACATAGCCTGAGAATAAGCCTGTTCACACCTAGTCAAGCTCCATGGGGGACAGAGACAGGGGTGGAGGGCCACTGTGGGACTCACCTGCTCCTCATCCTCCTACATCAATTCTGGCCCCCACCCCTTGCATCTCCATCCTCCTCCTTTGAGCTACTTAAAGGAATCCATAGCTCATCCCAGCTTAGCTTGATCTGCTCAGTCCTGAGGGTGGATATGCCTCATCTTCCTGGTCATCACTGGAGTTACAGCATGCATTCAATCAACATGGCCCAAAGAGACTTTTCAGAGTGGTGCCATGCAGAGAAGTCCCTCAGGAGAGGGGAGTCAGTGGGCTGGGCAGACATTAGCTAGCCTGTCTGTGGCCTCTTGCCTTCTGCTCCTGGCCATTCCCAGCCCTTTCCTCAATGGAGTTTTGGAGGGCCTCAGTTCTTCTGTGGTCCCTGGTATAGCCACTGTAACCCTGGGATGCCAAACTTTCTGGAAGTGACCCTATCTCCTACCTAGAGGCCAGGATGATTAAGGAAGAACTCCACTGTGGCCTCTGACATTTTTTGGCAGGGACAGGAAAATAAATCCAAAGCAACTTGGAGAAAAAGAGCCAGAGAAAGGCTTCTCAGGACCTAGCTGCCACCCAACTGTGCTCGTGCTGCATTGTGCAGTGAGGGTCCTGGCCACATGTTGACAGGGAGCCACCATAGCTATGTTCTTTCACATGGGTGGGCTGTATGGGCCATGGGATGGCTCCATGGAGGTTGCCTTATATAGCCTTACTGGGTACCTTGAGTGGGATATTGTCACTCTCATTTCACAGGTTTGAAATTCAAGCTGTCCAGGAAGGGATTGTTCTCAGCAGTCATCACACAGGGAGTAGGTGTGTAGGGACTTTAAACCCCGTTTCTCTGATACAATGTCTAGTGCCTTTCCTGGGCCCTTCCCTGGCTTTATAATCAGCTATTTGTTCATGCATTTCTCTACTCACATTCTTTGAGGGCCAGGCACTGTGCTCTGGTAGTGGATATGGAAGCAAATCCAAGGGAGCTTTTGTCCCCAGAGCTCATTTCTAATGGAGTACAGAAACCTGGGAAGAGGTCATGGTAGCCCAGGAGGGAAAGGAGGTTGGCTTTGAGGGAGATATTAAGAACTATCAGTTTCTCAGCATTTGAGAGGCTGGGACAGGAGGACCATAAATTTAAGATAGCTTGGGCTGCATTCTAAAACCCTTAAAAAAATAGAAAAGAAAGAAAATGCTAACAGCTTTTGTCAGAAACCATCTGAGAGCTTTACAAGGATTAACCTACTTAATCTTCCCAATACCCTACGATGCAGTTTCTCACATTATCCCCATTTACACAAGGAGATTTAATAGCCTTTTCTGGTTACATAGCTTGAGTCCAGGCTCAGGCACTGAAGTCAGGGAGTACAGTAGGGAAGGGTACAGAAAGTGTTTTGGGGGCTGCCTAGGGAAGTGTGTCTGGTCCTGGCTGAGGGAACACCATGAACAGAAGCACAGAGTTTAATACATTTGGTCCAGGGCTCACCTAGAGGCCCATTGAACCGTCTGCATAGAGGAATGTGTCAGAAGAGCCCCAAGAGGGCCACAGGTTCAGGGCTGGTATGCTTGCCTGCTGTGGAGTCACATACAACTCCAAACTGGAGTGTATCATGTGGTGTGAGCCTCACAGGTTAGGAGCTGGGCCCATCTTGGGCTGACTTCATGTCTTGGGCCTGGCACAGGCCACATCCACTCCAGAGCCTCATCTCCAGCCTGCAGGCAACAGTGGAAAATATGGAGTACATTTTCTGGTTTTTCCCAGCTGGATGACCGTGGGTTAGTTACTTAACTTTCTGAGCCTGGTTTCACATATGTAAAGTGGGGATTCAAAGCCCTGCCTTGCTGTCCCCATGAGACTGTTGAGAAAAACACTCTAACCATGGAAGCACCTTATAAATTACTGATTTGTTCACCAAGTGAGCTGAGGTGTGGCCTGTATGAGGGGAGTGTGGGGAGGCAAGGGTAGAATGTGAAGAGACAAAGTCTCTAATCTTGAGAAGGCACACTTATCTGGAGACAGGCCGGGGGTGTGGCTCAGTGGTACAGTGCTTGTCTAGTTTACACACGGTCCTGGGTTTAATATCCAGCTCAGGGGGTGGGGGTAGGTACAGAGGACCTATCAAGGAGACAAAAAGGAACCACAGGAATCATGTGACATAGAAGGGACCCTGTTAGCTATTCTGTGGTGAGGATGTTCACACCCAGTAATTCAGTTTGAATCCTGGCTCTGTGGCTTGCTTGCTGGGTAACCTTGTCACTTTAGAGCTAGAGTCTCCTTACCTATAAAACATGGATAATAAAACCTTCCATGTAGAACTGTAAAGATCAAAGACAACTATTTATTCAAAAGTGCTCTGGAAACATAATTTTAGGTCAGGTATCTGGAGATGATGGGAATGGAAGGACACAAATGGAAAGAGATGCCTGCCCAGAGACGCTTCTTCAGGCCTGTTCTTCAACCCCACCTCCTCCCACATCTGTTAGCATCTTGTGCATAAGAGTCCCCCAAAGGCACCTGGCCTTTTTGGTCTTTTAGCATGCTGGCTCTTGGTCTAAGATGCTCTGTCACCATTCTTTCCTGTTGTCCTGTCTCTAGGCAAACATAACCATGCCATCTTTTATCTCCCCCAATCCCCAATGTGGACTATATCCTAGCACACCCACCAGTGGTCCTTATCATGAGGGACTCTCCCTCCCAAGCTACCATAAGACAGGTATCTTGTTCATCATGGTCTTCAAGTACCTATATAATGATTTAATAAATCATCTCTTCCTCCTGCTCCTCCTGGTTGTACTGGTGATTGAATTTGAACCCAGGGTCTTGTGAATGTGAGGCAAGCACTTTAACATTGCTATGTCCCTATCCCAGAAAATATTCTTTTTTTTTCTTTTGGTTTTGAGACAGTGTCTCACTATGTAGCTTTAGCTGCCATGGAACTTGCTATGTAGACCAGTCTGGCCTCAAACTCACAGAGATCCTCTTACCTCTGCCTTCTGAGTACTGGGATTAAAGATGTGCTACCACCATTCCTGGCCCTCCCAAATATTTTTGAAACCCTCCTATAGTCAGGCCCTCCTGCTCTGGATACTACATGGAGGCAGGCAGTCTCTGTCTTTATGGAGTATACTTTCTTGGTGGCTAGGGGATGATGGGGCAGAAAGTAAACATGTAAACATGTAAGTCATTTCAGACAGCAATAAATTCTATGAAAAAAATAAAATTCAGTTGTCCCTTGGGACTCACAGAGGATTGGCTCTAGAATCTCTGAAGATAACAAAATCTAAGAATTTAAGTCATTTTTTATTAAATGGTAAAGTATTGGGGTTACAGTGTGGCTCAGTGGTAGAACACTTGCCAAGACCCTGGGCTCAATCCCTAGCAGTGTGAGGGGAAAGATGTAGTTTTTACATGTAATCTACACACATCCTTCTGTGTGTTTTAATTTATCTCTAGATTACTTGTAGTACCCAATACAACAAGAATGCTTATTTCCTAAGTAGTTGTTATACTATCTATTGCTTAGGAAACAAAGACAAGAAATAAAACTCTGTTTATGTTCAGTGCTGGGGCTGCCATCATAGACCTAACTTCATAGTACAGGATCAGTGATTGTTTGAATCCAAGGATGGACAGATACAGAGGGAGGGCTGACTGGACAGTAGTGTTATACCCTGGTGTGGCGGCATGCCTGTAACCTCAACTACTTAGAGGCTGAGGCAGGAGGGCTGAAAGTTTAAGGCCAGACTGGATAACTTAGCATGACCCTGTCTCAAAACAGGAAGGAAGGAACAGAAGGATGGGAAGGGTACAGTGAGATGGCTCAGTGGGTAAAGGTGCTCAGTGGGTAAAGGTGATCTGAGTTTGATGATCTGAGTTTGATCCACAATAGTGGAAGGAGAGAACCAACTCCTGCAAGTTGTTCTCTGACCGCATATTCATGGGAGTGCACGCGCGCACACACACACACACACGCGCGCACACACACACACACAAGTATAATTTAATATTTTTTTTAAAAGAGAGGGATGAAGAAAGGTGAGAGATGAGAGAGAAGAGGGACAGGATAGGGATATAATTCAGTGGTCCTGAGTTTGTTCTCCAGTACTTGGAAAGCAACATAGACAAACAATGGTAGTTATGGTGAATGGGAGACTTCTCAGAGCTTTGAACAGAATTAGGAGAGGGGAATCTCAAGGAAGATGGAACTCCCAAAGCTAAGAGAAAGAGAGCTCCAGACTGGAACTCTGGGGTTGGGGGAGGTAGAAGATGAGCTTGTTCAAGGGCCAGTATGGCAAGAGTGCACTATCCAAAACCCGAAATCAGGGAGCAGGAGAGAACAGACATTTCACAGGTCATTTTGTTTTGCAGTGCTGGAGATAGAACCCAGGGCCTCACACATGCTAGATAAGTACTCCATTGCTGAGCTATACCCCAGCCTAGATGCATGAGTTATTGTGGTCAGTGGAGAAAAGTCCACATAGAAGCAAGGAGATAGCAGTCCAAGACAAAGGCAACAGTGGCTGAAAGAGAAGAAAATGGGAAGTAATCTGATTGGGGACACATTTTAGTGACTGTGCCAGCAAAGGTTTCTGCTGGACCAGACATGGGATAGATAGGCGAAATCTCAAACATGAGGGTCAGGCTTTGGCAACTGGGTGGACTATGGTGCTTTCTCCTGAATTGGGGGATCTGGAGGGGCATGGAGCAAGTTTGGAGAAGCAAAACTATCAAGTGAAGTTGAAAATACTTGTTGGATACCCATGTGGGTGGCACACAGAAAGTATTGAGCGTATGTTTGCTAAGGGAGTGGAATGGGGCTGGTGGCCAGGTAGATGTTTCCATTTTGTTTTTATTTCCAACTTATCTTACCTCATGAAGGAAACATTCTTGGAGGGGGAGACAGTCAACACAGACACAAACTGATCATTTCAGACAGAGAGATATACTGTGAATATGAAACAGCAGCTGCCTTCAGATGAAAACTTCTAAAGGGCGGGGATTGGTGGTTCCTGGTAGGCTGGGCTGCTTCTAGAATCAGGCAGAGTAGCCATCAATGAAGGGCCCTGGGAATGCAGGTAGTCTGATTCCTTGCTATATGGGTGAGGCATCAGCAGGCCCTAGGTACAAAGACTGTCCCTGTCTGGCCCAGGCATCTAGTCCAGGGCTTGCTCTTCCCTCACTGCTCAGACACCTGGGACCAGTCCTTCTATGTCACCCTGGTTCCTTGCTGGCAAAACTGCTTACCAAGCTCTTCCCTATAACCAAGTACCTGCTGGCTCTAAAGCCTTGGCTTATTTAGTCATGACTTTTAGAGCTCTTGCTATGTGATGATGATGGTGGTAGGACAGAGGACTCCAAGACACTGTCCAATGGAGAAATTAACACAGGAATAATGACAATTGAGCAATAATGACAGCTGGTCAAATGCTTGATATGGAGTACAGGGAACCATGATGTGAGAGAATACAGGGGTCTGTTATGTAACTAAGATCCTGCCCTGCCTTCTAGAAGCTTGGATCCCTCAAAGGAGGTGCAAAGTAGACATGGAGAAGGCTGTAACATGGGGCTCTGGGATGAACAGGTCTGGAACTTGCTGGGAGGACAGGGCTAGGCAAAATCACAGAGCCATATTTCTTGAGCTGGAAATTCCTAGAATGGAGTTAAGATTTCACAGACTAGAGGAGGGAGGGGCTGGGCTATAGGCAGGGTGAAGTGCAGGAAGGCAGTGCTAGGTCAGTGCCCACAGGAAAGCAGGTGTGGTAGGACCCGTGCTCCCACTCAGTCCCATCTTGTTCAGAGGGTACCCCACTGCTACTGCCTACAGCTCACAACCCGCAAATCTCCTGACCTAGCAAGTGTCAACAGATCTGCAAGGCCTTAGGGAGAAGTGGAAAAACCTGCCACCTGATCTCCCCAGTCTACCTCTGCTGGCCCTAGTGTCCACTTCTATATAATGTGAATGAAAAAGGATAGTAATGGGCCTGTGAAATGGCTCAGTTGGTAAAGGCACTTGTAACCAAGCCTAATGACCTGAGTTCAATCCCCAGGACCCACTTGGTGGAAAGAAAGAAATGACAAGTTGTCCTCTGACCTCCAAACATGGTTTCCTTCCTATAAATAAATAAATAAATATCCACAAACTGTCCTTTGATCACCACATACGTACCATGGAATGTGTGCAACCACAAATAAATAAATAAATAAATAAATAAATGTAATTTTTTCAAAAAAGTAAAAGGATAGTAACAATTCTAATTACCATCCACTGAGCCATCATTCTATGGCAGACACTCTTCTAAATTGTCTTACAAAGGAATGGGGATGTAGGTCAGTTGGTAGAGTGCTTGCCTAGCATGTACAAAGCCTTGGGTTTTATCCCCAACATTGAATAAACCCAGTGTGATGGCATACACCTGTGATCCTAGCACTCTGGAGGTCTGGAGGCAGGAAAATCAGAAGTTCAAAGAGTTCTAGGCCAGCCTGGACTACATGAGACCTTGTCTAAACAAACAAACATCTTAAAAATATTGTTGCATCAAACTATAGCATTAAGTCTGAGAAGCTGCCTTATTATTATTATTCCCATTTTCAGTGAGAACAGGCTAGGAAAGGTTCAGGAACTTGCCCCAGGCCAAACACACATCTTCTGGCATCAGCAAAGGGATTGTCTGGCTGCAGGGTCCAAGTTCACCATGGTAAGATTTTAACCTTGGTTGTTGTGTCTCTGGGCTGCTTTTTCACTCAACAGATGCCTATTGAGTGTCTGCAAATGCCAGGCACTGTGGTGGGCTCTGGACACACAGCAATGAATACAACAGATAAGGTCCCCACTGTCACAAAGGTGACATTCTGATGGACAAATAAACACATTAGCAGTGAGGTCATATTAGAGTGTATAAGTTTTATCAGATAATACAACTGTAATCAAGAATGACTTTGATGGCAGCACAATATGGATTTCCAATGTTAAGTCTCATTTTAGGGCTGGAAAGGTGGCTCAGTGGTTAAGAGCGCTGGCTCACTGGCTGTTCTTAAACAGGGTCTTCCTGTAGCCCCAATTGGCCTGGAACTCACTATGTAGACCACGCTGGCCTTGAACTCACAGAGATCCACCTACTTTTGCCTCCCAAATGCTGGGACTAAAGGTGTACGCCACCATAACTGGCTTTTTTGGTTTTTTTTTCTGTCAGGTTCAGTTTTGAGTACCTACATGGCTGCTAACAACTGTCCCTAACTCCAGTCCCAGGGAATCTGACACCCTCTTTTGGCCTCTGTGGGCAGTACATGCATACATGCAGGTGGAACACTTATATATATATATATATATATATAAATTTTAAAGCATCTCATTTCATTCTTGTAGCCTTGTGGGGTGGGTATTACAATTTAGCCTGTTTTATGAAACAGAAGGGAGTATGAGTGTGGCTGGGCTTGAAACAATGATCAGGCCCTGAGAGGCTAGGTGACTCCACCTACAGGGGCACAGTGCTGCTGGCAGAGGAAACAAGAAGTGTCAAGGTTGGGGATAGTCACAAGGGACTGTGTTGGTTAGGTGGGTTGAGATTGCCAGAAGCTGTATGGGTGTCCTGATGTGAGGGGTGTCTTGGTACATGGGTTCTCCAGCAGGGGAAGCAGATGTGACGGGCTGGGTACACTGTGTTTATGTCATAGGAGGCTAATGGGCCTGCCGATGGCTATGCTGCAATTGCCCAGGCAGACAGGCTGACTCAGGAGCCGGAGAGCATCCGAAAGTGGAGAGAGGAACAGAAGAAAAGGCTGCAGGAGCTGGGTGAGGATGCAGCTGGTGGGACAGAGTGAGGCAGCCTCAGAGTCTGTGAAGGCCCATGCTGCCTTAATGTGGATTTAGCTGAGGATGGGGACTGGGACTGTGGGGTAGGGCCAAGGGTAGGCAACCAGGGTGACTGTTCCCAGTAGGCAAGTTGCTAATCATTCTCCTGTTGGGATCACAGATGCTGCCTCTAAGGTGATGGAACAGGAGTGGCGGGAGAAGGCCAAAAAAGACCTAGAGGAGTGGAACCAGCGCCAAAGTGAACAAGTTGAGAAGAACAAGATCAACAACCGGTGAGAGGTGCCCTGAGGATGAGGAGATAGAGTGACACGAAGTGAGCTATGGAGACCTGGGGGGAGCCTTGGGGACATGAGGGCTTTGGGGCCTTGAGGTGAGCCACAGGGGCAGCGAAGGGAATGGTGATTACTGGGGACTGTCTTGAGATGGGTGATGTAGCAAGGGTTTGGAGGGAGGAGGTAATGGGCACCTAGGGTCTTTCAGAGCTGGTCTACTCCCAAGCCTTTACCCCCCTCCATGACTGAGAGGGAGCTGTTCTGCTGGTCAGCCAAATGGGTGCCAAGGCCTGGAGTCCAACCACACTGCCCAGGGCCCTGGGCCCTCAGTGGGCAACTCAAAGTGGGCACAGGCCTGTCTGGGAGTGAAGAACCAGCCTGATATTTAATTGCTTATAAAAATGACAATACTTCAACCCAGCATGACTAAGGAATAAGAAGACATTAGTGGCCTGTATAACTGAAAAGACCAGGGCAGGAACATAGGCATAGTGGCATCTGGGGCTCAAGCAGTCAATCTGCACTTACTCTTCCTGCTACTCAGCTCTGTTTCTTTCTGTGCTGGCTTCACTCTTGGGCATACACCCCTGTGTGGGGCAAGCAGCTTCAAGGCTTCTTCCTACTTTCTTGGCAGGTCCAGTGGAAATAGTATAGTGTCTAGTGGCTCCAGCCACAGATGGTATGGCTTGAGTCCACGTCCATTGACAGGCCTGTGACTGCAGCCAGGAGGGATGCTCCAATGGGACCCAGCCAGGATGCAAGCCCCATTCATTGAGCTGCACATAGGGGCCAGTCCTATCCATGCAGGGACTACATTGGGAGCAGACTGATCCTGCAGAGCCTAGGCAGAATGGGGGCATGGGCACTGGGCAGGCAAAACCAGACATATACCAGAGAACGTATTGATGGACTGAGACTGGATGCCCTTCAGTAGTACCTGTCTCAGATGCTGTGCTATTTAAGGTGCAAGACCATGGGCCTGGAGAGATGGCTCAGTAGTTAAGAGCACTGGCTATTCTTGCAGCACCCACAAAGCAGTTAACAACTGTCAATACCTTCAGTTCCAGGGGATTCATGCCCTCTTCTGACCTCCACAGGCACTGCACGACATGGGTACACTTACATTTATACAGGCAACACACTCATACACATAAAATAAAGTAAAACAATTTTTTTTTTGGTCTTTTTGAGACGGGGTCTCCCGGTAGCCCCAGCTGGCCTGGAACTATGTAGATCACACTGGCTTTGATCTCACAAAGATCCGCCTGTCTCTGCCTTCCAATAGCTAGAACTAAAGGTGTGCACCACCACGCCTGACTAAAATAAAAATAAATAATCAAATACTAGTTAAAAAAAACAACTTCCTGGAAGAGAAAGACACTGGAAATGCTGCATGCCAGGCTGGGCACTTGGTGTCAGAGATGAGGAGAGTCCATCTGTGTCCTCAAAGAGTTCAGAGGAGAGATTCACACATGTGCAGAAATTGGATCGAGTAGGGCCCTGTGCATGAAGGCCAGAGAAGCAAGGAAGAAATATTTGCAGATCAGAGAGGAATCCTTTTCTGAAGACTTGGCTTGGAGGACAGCTATGCATTAGTTCATCAGGAGAGAGACAAGAGGGCTGGAATAAGGGAGAACATCTAGACCTGGGAGCATCATGGTAGGAAAGAGGGGATGTGGTGTGTTGAGTCAGGGTGTCCAGGGAGAGGTTTCAGGAAGTGGGTGGTATGTGGGAGTCACATTGGGAGAGCCTTGGGTAGAGATGTGACCAATAGGGAGCCATTGAAGGTTTCTGAGTAAGAGAGTAATATAGGGGCTATTTTACAAAGGGTACTGAGGCCCAGGTATACTTCTGTGGTAGCTGCTAAGCCTTTAAATTGTACTTCCTAACCTGTCTCCTGTTGGAGATACTAACACACTGTTTCTCTTTCTCTTTAACCCTCTGCCTGCCTGTCTTGCTGTTTGTCTTCCCTTACCTAACTCCTTCTCCTAACCTTTCCCTCAAGGATTGCTGACAAAGCATTCTACCAGCAGCCAGATGCTGATATCATCGGTTATGTGTACGTGTCGCCTTGCTCTCTGCAGGGGGAGCTGTGGAGAGGGCAGCCCAGCAGTTTCTCTAGTCTCTTGTTTGTGGGGTATAAATGCATGTAGCTGGGCTTGGGGCAATGACCAGAGCAGGAGGTGAACTCCAGGATGGGTGCAGGCACCAGCCCTTGCCATCCATCCACCCATCTGTCCTTCCAACAAATTGGAGACAGTTTGGGCCAATCAGAGTCATCAAGTGGGAGCAGAGGAAGGAATGCACTAGCCAGCCCCACATGGGAGGGGAAAAAGGCAAAGCAGCCTAGGTCCTTCTCTCTGAGATGCCTCTTGGGTGTGGATTGTGGGTGGGATGAAGGGGTCTTTTATTGAACAAACCTTAGCATTGGGTGATGAATCATAAAGAGTTAAGAGATGTCTTTATGTGTCTGCCCCTCACCCCTGCTCCCAAGTGCACTAGCTTGGCCATGAGTCTCTGCCCACATCACAGTTCTCCTGTCTCTGGTTTTAAAGTCTAGCTAGAACTGTGACTCCTGTAGATCTTGAATGGCATGTAGTTTCCCTCCCATGCCAAACCCAGGTGATTGTTAGTGTATCCTGGAGAATGGTCCTGAGGACTCCAAGGTCAAAGGAGAAACGCAGAATTTGAGTGCTGTTGGCACCCTTTGCTGTTCCTGCTGGAGCCAGGCCTTACTGAACCACCTGCCACTGCAGCCTCTGCTGCCATCTGCACACACCCTAACCCAACACAGGGCGCTGCAGGCACTAGCCTTCCTCTCCTACCCGCCCCCTTCCTCCATCTGTCCAGTACCTGCTGGAACTTACCCTATGCCAGTCACTGGTCAAATAGGGAGAAGACATGCACAGGCCATTCCCGAAGTTGCTGATGGTTTGGAATACATTGTAGTAAGAGCCATGTGGGGGGAACATATGGAACTCCGGAAGCCACCCTCTGCTGGGGAGCCAGTGCATGCTTCAGAGACTCATAACCTTCAGCTACACCTTAAAATTTGGAAAGGAGTTTGCTGGGTGGGGAGAATTGACAAGACGAGCATACTCTAGGTGGGAGAAGCAGCTGGGGCAGAGGCCTGGAGAAAGGCTAGAGCATTGAGGGGCTAGGTTTGTGGGGCTAGATGGGAGCTGAGGCTGGGAGGTGTCATCTTGGGAATGGCAAAGTATCTGCTGTTCCAGGAAAAGAAGCTCAGATTTAAACCTCATGGCCATGGGGAACCATGGAGAGGTTTCAAACCGGGAAGGAGATATCCAGCAGGCCTGGGTGCTCTAGAGTATCTTGGCTTTAGTGCTCCTATTGAGTCCAAGGAAATGACCCAGAGAACCCAAGAAGGTCCTGAAAGAGAGTGAATTGCAACCAAAGCTTCTCAGCCTTTTCATTTACCTAAGAATTACCAAGGAAGGTTTAACGAATGTAGATTCTGGTTAGCAGGACTGAGGTGAGGCTCAAGTTCTTTCTGACAAGTTCCACAGTTGTCACCAATGCTGCTGGGCATGGTCCACAGGCCACACTGTGAGCATTAAGGACAGAGGGGGAGCCTCTTGATCCTCACAGGCAGCCCCAGCGACAAATCCCTTCATCCACACTAGCTAGCTTCATCCTGTCTAGCTCTGTACAGTGTGTACCTGCTACCACATTGGACTCTCAGGCCAGGGAACAGATCAGCAGTGGAGGCCATGATCCTTATTCACAGGTTTAGATGAGCATATAGTAAGTAAGCAAGATAGTACTAAGTCTGTGGGGTCGGGGGGAGTGCATCACAGATCCTGGGCCAGTTCTTGTAGCACAAACTTCTGGGATTACCTGGAAAGCTCTCTTCCATCAGCCAGTGCCTGACATGTGACAAAACTGGTCCTGTTTGAGATGCAGAATGCTTTCCAAAGAGAAGGGTTTCTCCAGGATCCTTTCTGGTCCTTAGCAGACACAGGGCTCTCTCTACTTCTTCACTGAAGAACCCTGTCTTTCTCTTAATGACTCCTAATTCAACTGTATTTACTATACTTTGCTTCCACATTGTCCCTCAATGACTTTTTTTTGGGGGGGTAGGAATATTGGGTATTGAACTCAGGGCATCAAGTTTGCTAAGCAAGTACTCTATTACTGAGCCCCAGTCCATGGCTTTTTAAATCTTTTTTGAGACAGGGTCTCACTGTAGCCCCAGCTGGCCTGGGACTAGCTACATAGACCAGGCTGGCCTCGAACTTGCAGAGATCCACCTGCCTCTGCCTCCCAAGTGCTGGGATTAAAGGCGTGTGCCACCATATCTGGCTAAAGTCCAGTTTAGGATGGCCTTGGATTTGTGATCCTCCTGCCTTAGCCTACCATGTGTTGAGATTACAGGCATGGACTACCATGCCTGGCAACCAGTGGCTTTTTAAACTGTTAACTAGAACTTCTGAAGCAGAGACCATACCAGTTTTTAGTCTAACTTGATTCTAACCAAAGCCTTGAGACAATAGTTGTTCTGGATTCAAAAGGATTCTGTAGTCAGATAGGCTTGGCATGTGGAGGATTCTACATCCATTACATAGCTGGTTAGGTGGTTAGTCAGTGTCCTCTCTTGATCAAGGTCTTGGAGGTGCTGAAAATAACTGAGGTAGAGCTGGAGATACAGATCAGTGATAGACTCACACAGCATGTCTGAGGCTATATGTTCAGTATCTAATACTGAAGAGGGGGAAAAAACAACAAAAAAACTTGAAGCCTTTATATACCAGGAACCCCAGGATGGGAACTCTTTGTGGGAATATACTGAACAGAGCCAGATGTGATGGCACACACCTGCAAACTCAGCGTTTGGGGTGTAGAGAGAACAAGATCTGGAGCTCAAGGTCATCCTTGGCTACGCAGCCAGCTTGGTCTACAGGGGACCCCCATGAGAGGGAAGGAAGGAAGGAAGGAAGAGGAAAAGGAAAGAGGAGGAGGAGGAAGGGAAGGGAGGAACTGTATAAGAGTACCTAGACTGGGAAGGTCTTTCTGGGGAGGTAAAGCCTGCTCTGGGAACTAAATGACAGGAAGTAACCGAGCCAGGTACAGTGGTACATATCTGTAACCCCAGTACTGGGGAGGCTGAAGGCAGGAGCATCTCAAGCTTAGGAGTTTGGGCTACATAGTGATACCCGTCTCAGACAAAAAGCCACAGGCCACGAACAGGAAGAGCCTTTCAGGAGAAGAGGTGACAGTAAGTTTAAAAGCCCTGAATCTAGACAACCTAGGCTTCCTTTTTTTCTTTTTAGTTTTGTAACAGAGATTGAACCCAGAGCTTCATGCATAATAAGCATATGGTCTGCCAGCAAGACTCTTAGCCCTAAGTTTCTTGTGCAAGGCTGTTCCTGGTGGCTGAAGTTGTAGGGCACAGGGCTGGGGAGACTAGCTAGAGTGTCCCAGAGTAGGCCGATGGGAGCAGAACATCAGTGACTCGGGAGACAGATGGACAACTATTAACTTCTGTCGTCTCTCTACCTGCAGGGCATCTGAGGAAGCTTTTGTGAAGGAATCCAAGGAGGAGACCCCAGGCACAGAGTGGGAGAAGGTGGCCCAGCTGTGTGACTTCAACCCTAAGAGCAGCAAGCAATGCAAAGACGTGTCCCGGCTGCGCTCGGTGCTCATGTCACTGAAGCAGACACCACTGTCCCGCTAGGTGCCTGCTATAAGTATGGCCCTAAAGCATAGGCCATGCTGGGGCAAGAGGAGGAGCAGCTGTTTCGCTAGGGTGGAACTTCCTCTGGCAGCTGCCACACACAGCCTATTCTGTTCCTCCCCATCTTTGAGAGCTGGGAAATGGGACCCTTACCCTTCTCTCCCCTCCCTCCCTCTTGGCCCTATGTTCTAGCTCTGCACAACTTCTCAGTCCACTCAACTGTGACTGTCCTTCCTGATGTATTTTTTTTTTCTTGGCTTAAAGGGTGTGTTAACTCTTTTTACACTTATTTATTATCATCTTTATTTCTCTGGAAGCCACAACTGGTGTCGGGGCTCAGTTTGTGCTTAGAACTTTGCCAGCCTCATGCCCTGGAGAAGTGAGGCTGGACCCTAGAAATTCAGCAGTTCACAGACGGAAGTAGGAGCCCCAACATTCTATCTGCTGCCTCCCTCCTCAGAAGAAAAGACAAGCTCTCACAAAACAGTTTTGCAACCTTTTTTTTTTTTGGTTTTTTTTTTGAGACAGGGTCTCCCTGTAGCACCAGCTGTCCTGGAACTCACTATGTAGACCAGGCTGGACTTGAACTCGCTGGGAGTGCTGGGATTAAAGGCGTGCGCCACCACACCCAGCTGCAACATCTTTTATGACCCTTTACTAAGTTTGAAGGTGGGGACTCTGCTCTTATAAACAGCTGAGGAAACTAAGGCTCCCAAAATGGAAGTAGCTTGCAGTGGGAGGGAGGAGGCAAGACCAGAGGTCCTTGCAGTAGTTTCCAAGCCTGGGTAAGAGGCTGGCAAATATATACTGTCAGACCCTCTTTCTTGGGGTTGGCCAGAACCCTTTGGATGTGGAAGGATGTGCTACACTGCATATGCACCTCCCATCTTCAGTTGTTCCCTCTTGTGGATTTGGGATAAACAGGTGACCACACCTTCTTCCCTCTTCAGCAGATGCTATAAAAACAGGACGTTTAAGCTATTGTAATCTGCATGGTATTTAAAAAGAGTTGACTAATTGCCAACAGTATTAGGCCTCTAGTTCTGCTATGCTCAAAACTGACTGGCTTAGAACATGTGAAATTTATTGTCTCACAGTTCTGGAGGCTAAATTCTCAAATCTGGGAATCACCCAGAATCTCCACTGCCTCTGGAGATGCCTAGGGCAGGATCTGCACCTCTTTCCTAGCTTCCGGTGGCTAAGGCATTCCTTGGCTTGCAGATACCTCCCTCATTTTGCCTACATCATCACATGGCTGTCTTCTCATCTTCCTTCTACTTATGTCTGTGTCCAAATTTTCTTTTTATAAGGATACCATACTATATTGGATTAAGGCCCACTTTAAATACATTATTTTAATTATTAGTGGCTATAAAGTTCCTACTGACAAATAAGGCCTAAGGAATTGAGAGCTGGAGTTTAACATCTTTTATTTTGGGGGGGGCATACATCATAACACTAACAGAAATAGTGGACATCTTCTGTAAAGGTGCCAGTCTTCAGCCCTTCATATAGTTTCCTTGTATCTTGAGAGCTCCACAATGCACTGTTCTACATTTGCAATCTGCTTCATAGCTGAGACCATGATGAAGGCAGAACAGCTGGATCTTCCAGAGATCTAGATCCTGTCAGGGGCTCAAGGGATGTGTCTTCACTCCCTTCCTTCCCTTCTCACAGCTTGAAGCAGGTGTTCAGTGCGGCAGAGTCATACAGGGAGAAGCTTGGGTTCTCAGATCAACATTGGAGTGCTGACCACAGACCAAGAATGGGTGAGACTGTGTGTCAAAAGCAGAGATAAGCCAAGCATAGTGGTACATGACTTTAATCCCAGGTGGGAGGATCTCTGAGTCTGGGGCCAGCCTGGTTTACAAAGCAAGTTTCAGGCCAACCAGGACTCATAGTGAGACTCAAAAAAGTTGGGATGGTATATGCTCACAGGATGCATAAGTAAACACACAGAGGTGGAGGCAGAATATCCTGATTCCAACAGGACTATGGCAGGCCTCACATAAAGGATGATGGCAGGCCTCACATGAAGGCTGCAGAACCTTCAAAACTGCTGTTTCCCCCCTCCTGCCCCCCAGATGGTAACACTTTAGACCACTGAACTATGATCTCAAGAGCATTTGGGAATCTACTTTTAACAAGTGCCCCAAGTAACTTGACCATTAACAGGAAAGTCTGGATGGCACTAGGTACCTCTCATGACTGGGGACTGAACATGGGGCTTCACAAAGGCCATGTGCTGTATGTACCACTGAGCTATCTCCCCAGATCATTTGGAATTAAAAAAAATTTATGTGGTGGCGCACACCTTTAATTCCAGCACTTGGGAGGCAGAGGCAGGCGGATCTTTGAGTTCGAGGCCAGCCTGGTCTAAAGAGCGAGTTCCAGGACAGCTGGGGCTACAGGGAGACCCTGTCTCAAAAACAAACAAAAAATTTATGTGTATAAGTGTATCGCCTGTAGGTATACCAGTGCTTTACAATGCCTGCAGAAGCCAGAAGAGAGTGTTGAAGCTGGAACTGGAGTTATGACGTTGCTAGCCATCATGTGGGTGCTGAGAATCAAACCCAAGTCTTCTGCAACAGAAGTCAGTGCTCTTAACCTTTGAGCCATCTCTCCAGATCCCTCATTTGGAATTTTAAATACAGGGTATCACTAAGATACTGGCTTTGAACCCACAGGCAAGCCTTGAACTTGTGATCCTTCTGCCTCAACTTTAAGAATAGTTGGGGCTACAGGCCTGCAATACCAGCCCAGCTGATTTCTAAAAGCAATTCTTACCTTTAGAAATGTTTTTTTTTTTAAATTTTATTCTTATTTTATGTGTGTGTATTGCCTGCATGTGAGTGCACCCCTGTTGTGCAATGCGTGCGGAGGTCAGAAGAGGCTGTCAGATCCCCTGGGGCTGGAGTTACAGACAGTTGTTAGCTGCCATGTGGGTGCTGGGATTCAAATCCAGATCTTCTGCAAGAACAACCAGAGTTCTCAACCGCTGAGCCATGTCTCCAGCCCCCTTGAAATCTGTTCCTTCTTAAATCCAAACACCAAAAACACAGTTTGGATCATAGGATTGAGATTAAGAAATAATTCATAACATTACTAGTGCATTAGGGTTTATTAAGTAAGGAGTGGAGAGGCTGCAGCACAAATAGAAGTATGCAACCCAAACTGAAGCGAATCTGATTTCTGGAAAAAAAAAATCTGTCACAAAATCGGCCACTTCCTCAACAAAAGGGGCCTGTAGGAAACGGAGGAAATAATCTGGCAGGGCTGCTTGTTGCTCCTGGGTTTTGTAATGATCTCCATGGAGCTTTCAAGACCCCGCCATAGGTTCAGGATCGAGACTTAATAGCGGATGCAGCTAAACCCAACAAGATGGCTGCAACAGTGAAGCCTTGGGCGGCGATCCGGGTACGCATCATTATTTGGGAGCGCTGGCTCTGGCCGCGGTGGAAGCAGTAAAGGCCATAGGTGAGGGCTGCCGCCGTACCCAGACAGCCTGAGGAGAGGACAAAAAACACCGGGAGCAACAGGTCGGGTCCTGCAGGTCCCTTCATGATCTAGGCCCCCTTCCTCAGAGCCCCTACTTACAGGCTGCAGGAGGAAGGGCGGGGGCAGCGGCGATACTTTCTAGAATTCACACCAAACAACCCCTATCGCCTTCCATTTCAATCCTCCCAACCCCGCCCTTCCGTCACGTCTCTGGTCCCCTCTTCTTCCCATGCCCCCAGCGTATCCGGTCCTCTCCTATTTCGTCCCTCCTGAAACCACTAGGGTTTCGACCTTCAGTTCCTACAGCACATACTTACCTATGGGTACCATTGGGTTCTCACGGGTTTTGCGAATGAACTTCTCTTTGAAGCCTTCCGGGTTGCTGTAGACCGTGGGGCTGAAGCCCTCGATGTCCTGGGGCTGCGACTGATCTAAAGGCGCCTCTGTACTGACAGAGCGGGGAGCCGCCATGTCCACGGTAACAAAAGCAGGTAGGACAAAATCCGGACGATGAACTCCGCCTTCCGATGAGGTCATCACAAGGGCTGGGAAAGGGTCGTGCTGAGCTCTAGCACGCAGGAGCCAATATCCGTTGCATTTTGGGATTCGTAGTAATCAGTGCGGGAGGCGCCACTAGGAAGACTGCATTTCCCAAGAAGCCCTGCACGCGCCTTTGGCCTGCATCTTTGAGCACGAGGCTCTGAGTGCGGTTGTCTATTTGAGCTGCTGGTGCGACAGTCAGCGGGATGCCCAAGGCCAAGGGAAAGAGTCGGAGGCAGAAATTCGGTTACAATATCAACCGAAAGCGCCTGAACCGGAATGCCCGTCGGAAGGCAGCGCCGCGGATCGAGTGGTGAGGGGCCGGTTCCGAGGCAGGGGCTTTTGCCGGGATTGCAGGCGAGGTGACAGAATCTCCATGTCTCTCTTTGCTGTTAGCTCCCACATCCGACATGCCTGGGATCACACCAAATCTGTGCGGCAGAACCTGGCGGAGATGGGGTTGGCCATGGACCCCAACAAGGCGGTTCCTCTCCTAAAGAGAAAGGTATTGACAGGGAAGGCTCCTGGCACTTTCGGTCCACCCCCGCCCCAGCTCTTCCCTACTCTTTAACAAGTCTTTCTTGTAGCTGGATTTCAGAATTTAATCCTCCCTCACACCCTTCCAAGGTTTGCCATCTACCTTAGCTTGCACTAATTGTGGATAAAAGCCGCCGCTTAACGACCTCCTTCACTCACACCCTTTCTTGAGCACACATTTGGACTTGGGTTGGAACTTCTTTGCTCCTCCGCTTAGCCTTTCTTCTCGGACCTGTTTGGCATACCAGTGGTGTTTTGTAGAATGTATCTTATGTTAATGACTCCCCAACAAGTCTTTCTGGACTACCCTTTGATTGAAAAAAAAAAAAATAGTACCCCTCTTCAACCACTAGCCTCTTTCCTGCCTTATTTTATTTTAATTCATAGCAATTGTTAAACAGTTCGTGATGGCATTTACTAATTTCTCTTCTTCATGCCAGAGGAAAATGGCGCAACTTTTTTTAAAGCAAATGTAAAGCTATAACTAAGTACTATTTGGTAAGTCGTCCCATTGAGAAGACACCTGACATCCTTGTAAATTAAGACACTTTTCATGTTCAGTGTTTGTGTTATATCACACAACAGAGACAGGGAGGCAAGGAGTGTTAGACTTGTTTTATGAATAATCACAGAAAGATGATTGCTTGTTTCTTTAAAAAATTTTAGTTATCGCTGGGTGTGGTAGCGCACGCCTTTACTCCCAGCACTTGGGAGGCAGAGGCAGGCGAATCTTTGTGAGTTCGAGGCCAGCCTGGTCTACTTAGTGAGTTCCAGGACAGCTGGGGCTACAAAAAAAAGACCAAAAAAAGTTTTTGGTTGTGTGTATATGATGTTTGTGTATGTGTAGGCATGTATGTAGGTCAGAGGACAACTTTCGGGAGTTGGGTCTTTCCACTGTGGGTTCTGGTGATTGAACTCAGCTAGTCAGGCTTATCTGGCAAACACTTTTACCTGCCGAGCCATCTCCTAGCCTTGCTCGTTTTTTTTTTTTTTTTTTTTTTTTTTTTTTTTTTTTTTGTTTGTTTGTTTTGGTAAAGATTTTAGTTGTTCAGGGGCTGAAGAGATGGCTCAGCTGTTAAGAGCACTAGATGTTCTTATAGAAGACCCAGGTTTGAATTCCAGCACCCACATGGCGACTGTCTGTAACTCCAGTTCTAGGAGATCCAGCATCCTTTTCTGTCCTCCGTAGGCACTGAATGACACGGGTGAATTTACATACATGCAGTCATAATGCTCATATACAAAAAATAAAAATAAGTTAGAAACAAATCAAAAAGATTTTAGTTGTTGAGAATTTCAGTGCATTGGTTCTTGTTACCTAGTTCTGACTGACCTTGGGCAAGGATTCTTAGGGTAGATAAAGTTGTATTAGGATGGCACGACTTCCTTAATCCTGGTCAAATTTTTCCTGATCAAAGGTCCTTGTCTATTGATCTAATAGGCTTTATTCTTTGCAGGTGAAGGCCATGGAGGTAGACATGGAAGAAAGACCCAAAGAGCTTGTGCGGAAGCCCTATGTGCTAAATGGTGAGTGTGGGCTATGTTCTTGGTCATGATCCTGCCCTGTCATCTGGAAAAGGCCCCCAGTCCTAACTTTACAGCTGGTGAAACCAAGATTCAGATAGGAGAAACAAACTTAGTCCAGGGTTCAAAGTACTACTGTGTCGTCAGCTGAGACATTTTTTTTTGGTCTTTTTGGGACAGGGTCTCCCTATAGACCCAGCCGACCTGGAACTCACTATGTAGACCATGCTGGTCTTGAACTCACAGAGATCTGCCTGCCTCTGCCTCTCAAGTGCAGGGATTAAAGGCATATGCCAACCATGCCTGGCTGAAGTTTACATTTTTTATGTGTATGAGTGTTTTATATGCATATATTTCAGAGCACCTGTGCATACAATGCCCACAAAGGCCAGAAGAGGGCATCAGATCACCTGGAACCGGAGTTAAGGATGGGTGTTAGCTGCCATGTGGGTGCTGGAAACTGAATCCAGGTTGTCTACAAGAGCAGCCAGCACTCTAACTGCTGAGCTCTCTCTCCAGCCCCATCAGAAATATTTTTTTTGTTTTAAGACAGACCGTTCCTGTAGCCAAAGCTAGCCTGGAACTTACTATATATACACCAAGCTGGCCTCGATCTCATAGAAATCCACCTGTCTCTGCCTCCCCTAGTGCTAGGTTTAAAGGCATGTGGCACAATGCCCTGCTTGCTTGTTTGTTTTTGGTCTTTGTTTTGAGACAGGGTCTTCCTGTAGCCCCAGCTGTCCTGGAACTCACTATGTAGACCAGGCTGGCCTTGAACTCATAGATCCACTTGCCTCTGCCTCTCAAGTGCTGGGATTAAAGGCATGCGCCACCACACCTGGCTGCTTGTTTGTTTTTAACAATCTTGTTCTATATCCTAGGCTAACCTTGAACTTGAGATCTTCCTGCTTTAACCTCCTTAGTGCCGATACTGCCTAGCTGTTATTAAAATAGAGCAATTATTAGCTCCATATCCTGGATTTTCCCCTCACATAGAGCAGTGAGGAACCTGGGCTCAGCCCCCACACTCTGTTCAGACCTTCCCATTGTAAATACTGCCATAATATACCAAGAAAAGAGATTTTCCAATAGTATTATAGCTAAAATGAAGCCCAACTTTCTGGGCAGACAGTGTTTTATCTCTTACCTGGTGCTAATAAAGATTGGTAGTTCGGTTCCTTCATTTTAAACCATCATGCCTGAGAAAAATGACTTGCTTTTCAGGGAGTTTCCACACTTATGGATGATTGGGTGTTAAGAGGCAGAGTTTGGGTCCTAGATCAGAGTTCCTGCTTTGAATTTGGGAACGGGCTGGTATAGCAATTCTTGTGGCATGGGATTGGATAGAGGAGGTTCTGGGCAGCTCAAGTAATATAGAAGGTAAAGTCTTATTCCATTTCTTGGCTTCTTTTACCCCAGACCTGGAGGCAGAAGCCAGCCTCCCAGAAAAGAAAGGAAATACCTTGTCTCGGGACCTCATTGACTACGTTCATTACATGGTGGAGAACCATGGGGAGGACTATAAGGTGAGCCCTGACAGGAAGAACTATTTGGGCTGGTTGGGAAGACACACTGGACTGTTTGTGTCCTAATCTGACTTAGTGCCTATTTCTTGAGAAAGAAAGTAAAGAAAGATTCTAGGAATGGATCCCACTGACAGGAATCTACTGTGGATAAGATATTCACAGCAGGCATAGAGGGATAGATAGGGTGGTTTGTGCTTCATATCCTACTCACAGATGCTTTATTCATTTATCTTTTTGTGTGTGTGCGTTTTTGAGCAAGGGTCTCCCTGTATTCCAGGGCTGGCCTGGAACTCACTATGTAGACAAGGTTGGCCTTGAACTCACAGAGATCCACCTGCCACTGCCTCCTGAGTGCTGGTACTAAAGGTGTCTGCCACCATGCGCGGCATGCACTATCACTTCCCGCAGCTTCTATACTATTTTGTATATTTTATTATTTTTATTTTATGTATATTGAGTGTTTTGCCTGCATCTGTTTGCCCACATGGTGTACAGTGCCTGGAGAGACCAGAAGAGGATGTTGGATCCCCTAAAACTGGAGTTAGGGACAGGTGTTAGCTGGAATGTGGGTGCCAAGAATCAAACCTGGGTCCTCTCAAAGAACAGCAAGTGTTCTTAACTGCTGAGTCATCTTTCTAGTCCCTTGACTTTCTTTTAATTAATATTTTTAATTTATTGCATATGTGTGGGCAGGGAGGACCCATTTGTGTGTCATGGTGTGTGTGTGTGTGTGTGTAGTGTGTACAGTTTTTAGAAGTCAGCTCTTCCCTTCCACTTTGTTGAGGCAGGGGTCTCATCTCTGCTGTTATGTGACATAATCCAGGTTAGCTGGTCCATAAGCTTCCAGTCAGTTCTCAGGACTCTGCCTCCCTTTCTGCAGTAGGAGTTCTGGGATTACAGGTGCAGGTGCATACCACTGCATCTAGCTTTTTCTTTGGACCCTGAGGAGTGAACACACATCATCAGCTTGCACAGCAAGTGCCTTTACCTACTGAGCTGTTTCCCTAGCCTTTTTATTTTTCTTATTTTTATTTTATGAGTGTTTTGCCTGCATGTATATTAACTACACCTATGTTGTGCAATGCCCTTGGAGGCCAGAAGAGGGCATTGGATCCCTGGAACTAGAGTTGGTTGTTAGCTTCTATGTGGGTACTGGGAACAGAACCTGGGTCCTCTGTAAGAACAGCCAGTGCTCTTACCCACTGAGCCATCTCGCTAGTCCCCTTTTTATTTATTATTACTATTTTTTCTGGGGGTTCTTTTTGATACAGGGTCTCCCTTTAGCCCCAGATGGCCTTGAACTCACAGAGATCCACCTGCCTCTGCCTCTGCTGGGATTAAAGGTGTGCACTACCACGCCTGGCCTTTTTTTTTTGAGGCAGGTTCTTTGTAGTCCCAGCTGCTTATAACTGGTTATATAGACCAGGCTGGCCTCAATCTTGATCTGCCTCCCCAGTGCTGAGATTAAAGGTGTGCATCATCAAGCCCAGCTTTTTTGTTGTTTTTTTAAAGATCTGGCTGTGCTGGACCTCTGGGGGTAATTTGCAGTGGACTGGGCATGAGCTCCCTGGCTGGCTGTAGCTCTTTGGGGGCCCACTGCTCTCTCTAACCTGCCTGGTCCCTTCTCTATAGACATTTGTACTCTGTTCCCCAACTCTTCAGTGCAGAAGGGTTCCATGTCCCCTGTGAGGTGAAGAATACCTCAGGTATTGGAACTGGCATGCTCAATTTAGGCAGAGCCAAGGATTTGAACTTTTCCTGTTTAGCCCTCCTCACCTGGCCCTTCTTCCTTTTTAGGCCATGGCCCGAGATGAGAAGAATTATTATCAAGATACCCCAAAACAGATTCGGAATAAGATCAAGGTCTATAAACGTTTTTACCCAGCGGAATGGCAAGCCTTCACTGATTCTTTGCAGAATAAGAAAATGGAGGTCGAGTGATTGGTGTATACCTGACCAGACTTAGGCCTCCTGGATCAAAGAAGTCAAAGCCAGGGCTTAAGGCAAGGACTGTAGTTTCAGATGATGCTGGCAAAATCCCATGGAATTAGTACGTACACACACACGCACGTGCGCACACGAACATACTCTTCATTTGGATAGGGAACTCTTCTAGAGGCCCATGATTTATATTCTCTTAGGGGCTCAGAGAAAAGCCAAGACTTGCTGTTGTTTTTAAAGTTGATGTTTTATTTGAATGTATAATTTGTACATGATAAAACTGAGAATATTTTATTTGTGTATGGTTTTGTATTTACTGTGCTCCACTGAGCCCTGGAGCTGTGCCAGTGAAAACTAACCCTACTCTGGCAATGGGGCCATCGAACTCAACAGCAAGTGCTGCAGTCACTTAGGCTTGGCCGCCTTCCTCTCCTTGAGTGCTCCTAGTCTTCTTAAACAGGACTAACAATCCCTCCTATAGAAACTTGGCAGGAATCCTGAGCTACCTTGACGGGGCTTTCCTTGCTAGTGCTAATCTGACCGTGGGGCCAGCTCTGCTTCACTCTGGGAAGGTAAGGAATCAAGTTCTATTTGCTCACTTTGGATTGCTTATGTTGGCCTTGGCCTAATGCAAACCTCAGAGCCCTAGACCTGCCTTCTGAGACCAGCAGACTGCTAGATACCACTCTAGTGTGTGTGCTACACACTGGGTTCTACATGGTGTGGCCATCCCAAGGCCAGCCCTGCTTAATTCAGTGACTTGAGAAGGCGGTGCTTACTTTGCAGCAGGATCACAGGCAAGATAGAATGTGGGTGTTTTAAGTCCCAACACTATTCCCAACTATTGCTCATGTAAGCCCTCTCAGTTCCCAAGAATTCCTCTCAGGAGCGCCTATAGTCTATCTCTTCACTACTCTTGGAAAGGAAGCCTTGATGTTTTTACACATTTCATTGAAACCCAGGAAGGTGCACACTTTTGTTATACATAAGGAAACAAGCTAGAGAGAATGTCAGAGTTGGGTTTGACATCAAATCTGTTCGAAGGCAGCCCTCTATCCCACAGTATCAAGGTAGCCTAGGAGGGTCCCAGAATCCCACTTTATGGCTTCAGCCCTAGATTCCAGGATTGCTTGGCCATTTAAAGGACCTAGAACAGTCCTTAGATCATATATAAAAGATCCTGTGCAAGGGCCTGTAATTTAGCTTTTGATCTGTTCTCTACAGAATTCCAAATTTAGGCTTTTGACTAGGATATCCCCTTGTTTATGTGGTTCAGGTGCCAACTTCTGGAAGCCACTTCTGCCACTATCCCCTGCCTCTAGGTCACATAAGTGTCCTGTAGTCCCGTGTCTATGTCCTTCCAGAAGCAACACCTGTCATTGCCAGAGCTGCCTGTTTTACAGTGCTAAAGATCAAACCTGATGCCCAACCACTTTACCTGAGCTGCATTCTCATCCCCATAATACCTTTAAATTTGTTTGGCAGCCCTGCTAAATTGAGCTTCAGGGCATGGACTTTGTGAATTCTAGAATCTGACCCAATGCAGGTGCTTAGAGAAGGTTTAGAATGGCCTTCGACCTTGAACATGAAAGCTTCTTTAAGCCTGTTTCTACCCTCTGGCCCCATCAGCTAGATCCTCTTCTATAGGTTGGGAGAAGGCTTTGGATCAGTGTCTACCCCAAGGATTAAAGAGATAAGGACTGGAACTTGATGCCTGAGAACTTACTGTAGCATATCACTTTCGAGAGTTGCCTGGCACTGGGACTGTTAACACTCAAGCATGTGCTCAAAATGAGAATTCAAATGAAACCACATCAACTTTGGCATTTATCATGTGCCTCAGGAAGTCTCTAATGCTCCAGTTTATGCAGTTTGTCCTTGGTAGCCCTGTACATCTGGGTTCACAGGGCAGACAGCAAGGCCTCTTTATTCCTAGACCTTGAGGAAATTTTCCCTTGGTCCCTTGAGGGATTTCATGTTCGACACAGTAGGTGGGAAAGCATTAGAGATGATGCTTTTTATAGCTTCTAGAAAGGACTTTTGCCTTCAGAATCCCTTCTGAGGCTGGGAGGCGAAGTGTTTGCTCAGACCTGCCTCAGGTCTAAGGTCTGGACCAGTAGCAGGAGGGGGGACACCATAAGTAGTCCAGCAGCTGGCTTGTTAATGTTGGCAGTTTTCCCTAAACTAGTGCAAGAACAAAATACTTTCCAAAGGCAAGTGGAAAGAGTTTTTCGGAAAAATGTTTGAATCAGGCTGACAGGCAAATGTTGGCAGATTTTCAAGGCCCCCTCTGCAAAGACAGTATGTGCTGACCTCACCCCCTAGTCCTTAGAGCTGGGTGCCTCTGTCAGAACAAACTTAACACCTGCAGTTCTGGGCACTGAGGGTTACCGATAGCTTCTTGGGCTAGGCAGCTGGCTCTAGGTAGTAGTCCTAGCAGTCTCAACGGCCCTCTTGTCATGAGCATTCAAATATCTAAGCTCTGGGCTGAGTGGCCGCTCTTCTAAGTGGTGGTAGAAAACCAGAGGCCATAGTTTCACTTCAACTTAAGAATGAAGCCTCTAGGTTGGGGATGTGGCTCTGTGGTAGAGTGCCTATTATGTGTGAGTTCAACACCTATCCCTGCAAAATGAAAAGAACAAGAACAAAGGCTCCCCCAGTGCTAGGCAGAAATGTCTTTCCTTTTCAAGAGTGGATGCTGCTTTATAAGCCCCTCGGATCCTGAGCCTTCCCTCCAGCTGTTCCAAGCTCAGGTAGGTTGGGCTGTGGCAGTAAGGTGACTAATGTCACCCTGGCTAGACTGGGGACTTCACGTTGAGATTAGCACCTGGCGGTAACTGGGCTGGCTCCCAAGAGTCAGTGTTCTGGGTTGTCCAGAGAGTTCTCACTAGAAACAGCTGTAGGGTCAAGCAGGTAGGTAAGGCTCTGAATCAGACCTGTTAATCTACTTCATGTAGTCAGTCTAGTTGTGGCAGAAAACCAAGGCAGAAGGAGCACTGCTTGGAGGAAGCACTAGCAGCCTCACCAGAGCATCACACAAATGTGAAGCACACAGAAGCCATGTGAATGCTATCCCTATATTCTATACAAAGATGAGGCTATGTGGCTCAATCTAGGGTTTTCATTCTTAGGAATTACTGAAATTAAATCATGGTCTTTGGTTTTCCATTCTTTATGACCATCCCTTAGCACTCTGGACCTTTAGTACCTTTTGTGCCTTCAGTGTGCCCCCCCAGCCCCCCATAATGGGGATTGAACCTAGGCCCTAGTGCATGCTAGGCAAGCACTCTACCACTGAGCTAAATCTCCAACCCTTTTGTATGGAGTCATGCCTCTAATTTTACATGGGTTATAGGAATTGAACTCAGTTCATCAGGCTTTCATAGCAGGTACCTTTACCCGCTGAGTCATCTCATAGGCCTGCCTTTTTACCTTGAATCGGGATCTCACTAAATTGCCCACACTGCCCTTGAACTCTGAAATCCAGGCAGACTGAAATTTGTGATTTTCTGAGTAGCTGGGATTATAGGCCACCAGGCCCACTAGGTCTGGCCTCAGAGAGTAGTCGTGATAAAAGTTACTCCAACAGACATAGTGGAACTCTTTTATTCTTAGGTTTACTCCCTCTCCTTTGGGGAATGTAACAGTTGTACTACATAATAACACACATTAGACAAAGGCAGATCTTAATTAGGAAAAACTTGTCTTTAACAATCAATTCTGGTTCCAAGGTATAAGTTTCAAGCTCTAGAGAGTAAGGTGGAGGAGTTCTTAAAGATACAGGTTCTATCTTCCCAATGACAAGAGGAAAAATTGCCAACAAAATTCCGAAGGGCACTCTGAAATCCAAGTCATTCCTTAAGTATTTAATACAAAAGCAGAAAAATCACATCTTACTGCAGTGATTTGCATCTCAGTGGTGATTCCATTCTCACAAGGGAGCCCAGTGGCACAGCAGGCCACTCTCCTGATCCTGCTCACCTCCTGGATTGGGAACTTCCCACTCCCTGCTTCTTGCACTAGCAGTAGGCGGAGTATGGAAGCATGTTGGGCAAATATCATACAACAGCACAGTCTATTCTCAAAAAGCAAACCAGGGCCTGGAGAGGTGGCTCAGCAGTTAAGAGCACTGGCTGCTCTTGTAGAGGACCCAGGTTCAGTTCCCAGCACCCACATGGCAGATAACCACCATAACTCCAGTTCTGGGAAATCCAGTGCTGCCTTCTGGTCTCCAGGCATTGCACACATGTGTACCTACATACATGCAGGTAAAATGTTTATGCACATAAAACTTTAAAAATTAAAATGTTAGAAAAAAAAAAAGGCAAACTGAAAGCCAGTCATGATGGCTCATGCATCCTGTAATCCCAGCATTTGGGAGGCAGGGGGAGGAGGATATCCATGAATTTCAGGCCAGCCTGGCTTACACAGCAAGTTCCTGGCCAGCCAGAGCTACATAGCAAGACTGTGTCTTAAAATAAAAGCAAACAATGGGATTTGAAGAAAAACACTCCATTTGTGGCTGTTCTCTTATACAGTGGTCCCTGGCAGACTGAAAGCTCCTTTGCTTGCACTAGTGTCAACACAGACTGGCCTTGAATTGGAATGTGCACTGGAGAGAATCTCAGAATTTCAGTTTCTTTTCTTTTGCCAGGGAAAATGGTCCCAGAAGGCTCAGTGATGTCCCTAAGGCCATCTCTTCTACTAGTGCCATCCTATGTCCTGGGCCACATGGTAGAATCTAAGTACAAGTGCGTTACTGTGCAGTACTTGTCTCCAACTGTGGTCAGAAGGACGGGAGGGAAGGAAATTACAGCTGTATCTCCATTGACACCTGTAGTTAATCGCACTGTCATTCATGATTCTAGCTAATTTTCTCAAAGCTTCAAATTTTCTATGATAATCTCCTGGGTTTTTGTTTACAGCACCTGAAACAGAATCTAGAACTTTGGCCTATTCCTTTGATAAATAAAAAAATAAATAAATAAAATGTAGTTCTGAGGCTGACCCCCAGCTGTAGTCTTATTCCAGGACCTGGACTCCTTCCTTCTCCAGGCTTATGTAAACATGGGAATTGGCAGAGTTTGTACAAGAGCAGCAGCTTGTCTCCAGATTTGGGGAAAACCTGTACTTCACCCTGTTTGGTGAACTGCACTTACTCTGTTGTCAAGAAAGGCTGACAGGCCAGGCCTAATCAGCAGGGCAGTGTTAGAAAACGCCTTGCTGGAATCTTCAGGTTTATCCCAGCCTAGCATTTAAAAATAACATGGAAATCACCTCCCTTTAAAAATGATCACCAGAAAGGCAGACACTGCACAAGGCCACAAGTTAGGCAGAGCAGGGGATGGGACAGGTAACAAAGGAGTAGGAGCAAGAATTACTCTTATCACCCAGAACCTGCCCACATGGGAAATGCATGAAGTCAACAGAAGAGAATGGTGTGGGATGGGAGACTGAGGTTCTAGGAGTACTTGCGATACACTGGCTCTTCAACCCCTAGGGCCTGCAGGGAGGGGAGGTCTGAGCCTACTGAGCATCTTACTATGCAGGGAAGGCAAGCCTAACAAGGCGTCATGATTCTCTTCCCATCCTCTGCCTTACCATCTCCCTGCTTCAGACTCATCAGGAAGGCTTCTGCATTCTTTTGACCTTGCTCTTCAGGGGAGAAGGGAAGTGCTGCCACAGGACTCCTGCCCAAGGCTGAGGCTGGTGATGAAGAAGCAGGAGGCAGCAGAACTGTGGTTTCCATGGCTGGGTGGCAATCAGGTGGCTCCAGCTTAGGAGAGAAGCTCCAAGAGCAGTTTCCAGATGTGCACGGTGCCGGGTTCCTCAAAGTCAGATTCTGCAGGGGCAATGCTGGCTGCTAAGAGGAAAACCTCCCTCTGATTGTCACCAGCCTGTAGGCCCAGCTCCTGCTGCAGCTCTACCATACTCATGGCCCCGCTCAGGTCCTGGGGTGAACACAAGCCAGTTGCAGCATAGCTGTCAGACAATGTTCCCACTATACTGCCACCCTTGCCGTTCCTGAAAGCTATTATTTCAGTTATTACTTAGGAAAAGCAGGACCCTATATCCCAGAGGTTGCCTCTGGATCCCTTGGAATAAACTCAGTTCTCTCCTTCATTCTTGCCTCCTTTGTAGTACCCTCTTTTCACTATACCATCTGTCACTGTGCTCAGAAACAGAGCCCTTTAATTTCATCCTTGGTCTAAGATAATTCTTGGAGCAATTCATAAATGCTAGGACCTTAGTTGTTGCCACCTGCAGGTAAAAAAATAATACTTTAGGGGCTGGAGAGATGGCTCAGTGGTTAAGAGCATTGACTGCTCTTACAGAGGACCTGGGTTCGATTCCCAGCATCCATATGGTGGCTACAAGCCATCTTTAACTCCAGTTCCAGGGGAATCTGAAGCCCTCTTCTGACCTCCACAGCATTGCACGACATGGGTGCACTCACATACATGCAGGCAATACACTCATACGTATAAAATAATATTTAAAAAAATACTTTAGCCGGGCGTGGTGGCACACACCTTTAATCCCAGCACTCGGGAGGCAGAGGCAGGCGATCTCTGTGAGTCCAAGACCAGGGTATTTCTAAGGGTCTAAGAAGACATCATTAATACTTAAACCAGAACAGGAATGAACAGGACTGTCCCAGGTAGATCAGGATATATGGTAACCATATTTACAAATAATTAACTGTCTCTGGATACCCAGGGTAAATCTGAGGTCAAAGAGATGGACTGGGGACAAGCCCCAAGGAACTTGTAGAGCTCTGGACTGTAGCAGTCTGCTGTGGAGTTGATGATGTCATATGTAGTCTGTGATTCTGAGGGCTCCTGGGCCCAAGGCACCCTTCTGGGACCCAGAGAATTATAGTGTCACTAAGAACCTTTTAGAACTGGGCATGGAGGCACCTACCTTTAGTACCAGCAGAAGCAGATCTCTGTGAGGTTAAGGCTAGCCTGGTTTACAAAGTGAGTTCTAGGCCAGCTGGAGCTACAGGGAGACCATCTTAAAAAACAACAACAACAACAACAACAAAAAACCCAGATCTTTTTTCTTTTTTTAAAAATTAAAAAAAAATTGTTTTTATGTGTATGTGTATATTGCCTGCATGTAGGTAAATGCACCCTTGTCATGCAATGCCCGAGGAAGGCAGACGAGGCTGTCAGATCCCTTGGAACTGGAGTTACGGACACTTGTTAGCTGCCATGTGGGTGCTGGGATTCAAACCCCGGCCTCCTGCAAGAACAGCCGGTGTTCTTAACCACTGAGCCATCTCTCCAGCCCCCAAAACTCAGACCTTTTTTTTTTTTTTTTTTTTTTTGTGGAGGCTGGAGAGGGTAACAGAAGATAGGAAAGAAAAGGGGAAAAACACATGTCAGGATGGGAAAAAGGATAGGTAGAAGGGTAGAGGTAGCTCAGCTAAGCCCTCTACGCATGTGCTTCCTGCCCTTGCCCAGGCATTTGTGAGAAGCCCAACTGGCTTCAAACTGCCTCCCACAGCTCTCACCTGCTTGTTGGCCACGACGACGACAGGCAGGTCAGGGTCCTTGTCCAACAGTTTTTGCAATTCCTGCCGTGCCCAGGGCAACCGCAGCCGGTCAGCTGAGTCCACCATGAACACTAGCACGTCCACCTCATTCACAAACTCCTTCCAGTAGAAGCGCAGGTTCTGGCTGCCACCAACTGAAGAGAGTCCACAAGCCAGCTCAGATCTTCCCTGGGGCCTGGCTCTATCCCATAGTCCCATTCCCACTTCCAGGTTCCACTAGCCAGGGACAAAGAAAGTACCATAGTCCATAGCCAGTCAGATCTCTTTTGTTTGTGTTTTTGTTTTTTGAGACAGGGTCTTCCTGTAGCCCCAACTGTCCTGGAACTCGCTGTGGAGACCAGGCTGACCTTGATCTCAGACATCCACCTGCCCCTCATCCCAAGTGCTGGGATTAAGGGCATGCGCTATCACACCCCACCAGTCAGATCTCTTAAGACAAGCCTCTACCTTTAAGCACCAGCCTCTTTTCACTGAACTAAGAGATGGCAGTGGACTCCAAAGGTACCAATGCTCCCTTCATAGGACTGGCACACAAGGGCTCTACAAATGGTAGTCTTTGGTAATCTTTCCTGGGTTGCTAGGTCAGTGGTACCTGATCAGAAAATAGGAGTCCCAATGTCTAGAAAAGTCAATCCCTTGCCTGTCAGTGCAAAGCCATTCTCCATTCAGTTTCCCCCATTCATTCTTGCCATCCCGTTCTCTTCCTTTGGAAATACTACACTCAATCCTACGACACAAGATTACCCACATAGTGTCTGCACCTGGGGTTACCTTCCTGTTCCTTTTTGTTCCTCTGCTCAGTCCCCTTTGGTTACCCTGCATCCCAGAGTTTCTGGTTCTGCTTCTGACATTTGTCCACCCTAGATCCCCCCAAAACCTCAGCACAATGCCTTGGCACATAGCAGGCACTCATCAAGTATTTACTGAGTGCTTACTAGGTGCCAAGCACTGATCTGGGTGCTGGGGATACAGGCATAAGCAGGTTAGAGTCCCACTCTCAAAGAATTCCCTCCCTAATCAGAATGGACCAAGCAATAAAGTAAACATATTTCAGAAAGAAAACAGAATAAGGGAAAGTGCTTTGGAGATGTGGTTGGTCTTGGATTGGTGGTCTGGGACTGTCTCCTCAAGGAGGCTGGCATGTGGGCTGAGTATAGATGATGAGTGAGCCATGGGGAGAAGCAAAAGAAAGCATCTCAGGCAGAGGGAAGAACAAATTCCATGTATTTGAGAAAGAAGAAAACAATGTGGTTGAGACACCTCAAGAGGAAAGGAGGGGAAAGGAGAGGCGAAGTAGCCCTGAAGGCCACCCTTAAGGGTTTTAAATAACTGACATGACCCGACTTGGGTTTCTGGGTTTTTTAAACTGTTTTTTGTTTGTTTGTTTGTTTGTTTTTTTTTTTTTTTGTTTTTTTTTTGATCTTTTTGACAGCCCCAGCTGTCCTGGAACTCACTATGTAGACCAGGCTGGCCTCAAACTCAGAAACCACCTGCCTCTGCCTCCTGAGTACTGGGATTAAAGGCGTGCACCTGGCTTTGATGTGGCTTTCTGAAAGATACCTGTGGCTGTCACTGAGGACAGAAACAGAAGGATTTGTAAGGAGGCTGTTGTAGTACTGACTGGAGAGATGACAGTGGCTTGGAGCAGGCAATAAAAGGTGGTGGGAGAGGGGGTTAGTCTATCCAAGTATACAGTTGACAGAACCAGCTAATAAACTGGATACAGTAGTGGGGGATAAAGAATTTGCTCTCTGGGGGCTGGAGAGATGGCTCAGTGGTTAAGAGCACTAGCTGCTCTTGCAGAGGACCAGGGTTTGGTTCCCAGCACCCACATGGCAGCTAACAACAGTCTGTAACTCCGGTTCCAGGGATCCAATGCCCTCTTCTGACCTCCTCAGGCACTGCACAATACAAGTATACTTACATGCAGGCAGTACACTCATACACATAAAATAAAAATAATAAAGATTTTAGAAAAGAATTTGCTCCCTTACCAATTTTCCCCAAAAGGCAAATTCTTGGTGGGACCCTAGGCCAGGCATTGTAAGAGAGCATAGTGAAGGGACTGTTGTGTGAGAGGAAGGCTCTAAGACTTCATTGTGCAGATTGGGATTTTATTTTGTAGTTTTTGTTTTGTTTTTTGAGACAGGGTCTCCCTGTAGCCACAGCTGGACAGGAACTCAATATGTAGACCAAGCTGGCCTTGAACTCACAGAGATCCACCTGCCTCTGCCTCCCAAGTGCTAGAATTAAAGATGTGTGCCACCATGCCCAGCTGTTTTGTGTTTTTATGAGACAGGTCTCTATGCTGCCCATGTTAACCTGGAACTCCCTTTGTAGTCCAGGCTGGCCTCAAATGTTTGGCAGTCTTCCTCTCTCAGCCTCCTGAATGTTGGGATTATAGGCATGAACCACCATGCCTGGCAGAGATCTGGGTTTGAATCCCAGATGTGTGATGTGTGATTCTAATGAAGGTACATGAAAATATCTATCCCCTTCTCATAGGGCTGACAAGAAGGGATACTATTTCTGCCAGATAGTATCCTCACTTAACCTACATCCCTGGCACAAGAGAAGGAGACAGAAAAAGCTTGATTGGAAGGTTAGAATCCTAGGTGAATATCAGTATTTGCTATGACCTAGCTAAGGAGGCTAGGTCAGGTAAGAAGAGCCCACTCAGGCCAACAAACTAGACTCTCAGCAAAGCTGATTCCATCACCTAGCATTTAAATAAATCCACCCAGTCTTCATGGTTTGAGTCTTGTGGCTGGCAAGAAGTCCACCCATGGGCCTCCCCAGAGACTGGATAGAGGTGGCTAAGTACTGCTGCCGTCTTCGTATTCTCCCACGCCTTTCCAAAATCCCAAGAAACCTGGACTGAGGGCAAAGACTCCTCAGTTCCCTCTCTGGTCACTCAGTGAGCTCTCTCAGATACCTATTTGAGGTCTGAGATCTTGGGCCAGAGACGGATCTGTGCCTAAGGTGCTCATGGCCTCAACAGGGCACAGGGTGATATAACAAACTGCAGCAGAAGGGGGACCAGAGTTCTTAACCTAGCCTGGGAGTCAGGCAAAGTGCCAAAGGATGCTGCAAGTCATCCTTTGTTCAAACAGCAGTTGATATTGAGCACCAGGGTGTGTGCTTATAATCCCAACACTCAGAAGGTGGAGAGAGAAGGATCAGGAGTTCAAGACCAGGCTTATTACAAGTGAGTCTGAAACCAGCCTTTGCTACACAAGACCGTTTCAAAAAAAACCTCATGAAATAAGTAAAGATAATAAACCACAGTTTGAAGAATGACTAGTAGTTTTATCAAAGAAAGGGCATTCCAGGATGAGGCAACAGTGCATGCAACAGGAGATAAGAAACAAGTACCTTTCATAACTAAGCAGTGTAGCAGGATGCTTAATGGTAAGGGTTTAGAGACAGACATTTTGCATTAGAACCTTTAGTGATTTAACTTGCTGGGAATGGGGTTTCTTCATGGATAGACTGTGAGAGTTGTAACTGATTATAGTTTTATGGAGTGATCTGGGGGATTTTATTAGCAATGCCTGCCTTAGTTATGTTAGTACCTCAGTATAAAGGCATGTGAGCTTCATTAGTGGTAAAGGGCAGGTGACTGATTTACAGACACCCAATCAGGAAGAACTCCAAGTGCCAGAATATACTGTTTTCTTGTGCCCTGGAGAGGAGTGGAAATGATTTCATAAAGGGTAATGTCTTGCTTTAGATGTGCATTTTGGGGTCCCTTCCTCCAAAGAATCTAGGCCTGGGTCCAGCAGTGACGGTGGGGGAAGAAGGGGTCTCTTGCTCACTCTCTAGCAGGTCCACCTCGAAATCCTTGGTGGGGAGCCGCACGGAATTGAAGCCCCAGGTGGGGATGTGGCCTTCCAGCGGTGGCTTCCCAGACAGCACGCGCAGGAACGTGCTTTTCCCAGAGCCATCCAACCCCAGCACCAGCACCTCGCGCTGCTCCAGCTCCTCCAGCGCCGGTTCATCCTCCTCATCCTCGGGCTGCAGGACAGAGTTCAGGCTGCAACCGCCCACCTCCAGCCCTCCTCCCGAGGTTCAACAGAAGGCACCAGGGCACCCAACCACGCCCAGGCAGGTGTGGTCTGGAGTAGAAAGGCAGAAGCTGCCTAGCAGACCTGAATTGCGAGGCCTAGTGACCTCGGGCACATTCTTCCTCCTCGCGGAAGCTCGGCTTCCACAGACTGTAACCCCCAAGTCAGTCCTAGGACTGGAGGTACACCTACACCTGGATCGAGAGCTTTTCCCGGCATCCCCCGGGCGCCGCCACAGGCCCCGCTCAGGTGCCGCGCCTTCGGGGCTCAAGAGCCAGAACGCTGGCGTCTAGGCTCTCGCGCGTCCACCCCTGGTCCCGGCGCTTTCATACCCGCTCCAGCGCTCTGCGACTCCCCACTCACCTCCCACTCGTCCCACTGTGGGAGGCGGGCAGGCTCCGCGCCCCACCAGGCCTCGCCTCGGTCCCAGCGCCGCTCCCGACCGCGGCCGAAGTAGGCTTTCCAGAGGATGAAGAGCACCGAGCCCAGAACGGCCGCGGCGCCGCCCAGGGCCAGCACCAACGGGCCCAGCGGTCGCGGCGCCATCGGGTTAGGGAGGGACGCGGGGGCGGGCGCGAGGCTGAACAGCCCGCCGCGGAAGATGGTGCCCGCGCCGCGCCCACCCGTCCAGCCCCGCCGGACTACAAGCCCCACAATGCACCGCCGTGCGCGCCCCTCAGCCTGCGCCCCTGCAGTGCTTGGGTCTGGTGGGTCTGGGCAGACCTGCGGCTCCCGGTGTCCCGCGTGCGAGGCGCGGGGCTGTGCGCTTCTGCGGGTCCTGAGGGTGCTGTGCGGGGACAGCACGGCCTTTACTCACAGTGCTTCGCCGAAGATCCCGAGACCCAGAGATAGTTGCCCAAGGTCGCACTGTAGTATACGGTACATTCAAGTCCCAAGCTGTCTCCTGGGGCGCCCTCAGGACCTCAAGGAGGAAAATTGAAGCTATTTATGGGGATCACACGCCATGGCAGAGAAAGGACCAGAGCCACTCCTGAGTCGAAGCAGTCTCTAACCTTCCTTTGGTTGCCATCTGGAGACCAAGGCCTCGATGTCCATGGTGGTGAAGCATGTGGGGCCAGGAATCAGAATGTTTAGCCACTCCCAGAGACTGCAGGACTTCCAAGTACAGCATCAGAACGAGAAACAGGAAAAATGGCTGAGGTATAGTGGGAGGAAATGGGCCTGGAGCTCCCAGTTTCCAGGTCGTGGTCGTTTCTCTATACAGTGTCTCACACCACACTGTACCTCCTTAGCTTTCCAGTTCCTCTGTACCCCAGCCTCTGTCCCCTCTTGGCCATATACCCATGCTGTTGCCTTGCTATCGTGACTTTTTGTTTCTTCTTCGTGGGTTTTTTTTTTTTTTTTTTTGTGAGACAGAGTCTCCCAGTAGCCCCAGCTGACCTGCAACTCGATATATAGACCAGGCTGGCCTGGATCTGCCTGCCTCTGCCTTCCGAGTGCTGGGACTAAATGCATGTACCACCACCATGCCTGGCTAGTCTTTTAAAGTTTTTGGATTTATTTTATGTATATGAATGTTTGCATATATGTATATAAATGAACCACATGCATATAGAGGCCAGGAGAGGGCTTCGGATCTTCTGGAACTGGAGTTACAGACGATTATTAGCTGCCTTGTGTGTGCTGGGAGCCAAACCCTGGTCCTCTGCAAAAGCAGCCAGTGTTCTTAACTGCTGAGCCATCTTCAGCCTCTTGCTGCTGCTGCTTCAGTATTTTATTATTTTTATTTTATGTGTATGAGTGTTGTGGTGGTTTGAATGAAAATGTCCCCCATAGGCTCCAAGTATTTGGACATTTTGTCCACAGCTGGTGGTGCTGTTTTGGGAGGTCTTAAAGGTGTGGCTATGCTGGAGGAAGCACATCACTGGAGGCAGGCTGAGAGAGTTCTTAAGCCTTGCCAGATCTCCTGTTCTCTGTTCTCTTGCTTCCTGTGCCTGCTTGAAGATGTGAGAGCTTAACTTCTGTTGCTCCTGGTCCAGCCACCTCCAGCTACCATGCCTCCCTGCCATGATGGACTTAATTCCCCCAGAACTGTAAGCTCAAATAAACTCTTTCTACTATAAGTTTCTTTGTCAGTGTTTCTATCACAGCAACAGAAAAGTAACTAATACAAGTCTCTTGCCTGAATGTATGTAAATGCACCCGTGTCATGCAGTTCCCTTGGAGGTCAGAAGAAGGCATCATATCCCCTGGAACTAGAGTTACAGATGGTTGTTAGCTGCCATGTAGTTGCTGGGGTATGTACTGGGAATCAAACCCGGGTCTTCTGCAAGAGCAGTCAGTGCTCGTAACCAGTGAGCCACCTCTCCAGTCCCTGTTTCTTCTTTTTCGGTCTTTTTTTTTGAGACAGGGTTTTTCTGTAGCCCCAGCTCACCTGGAACTCACTATGTAGACCAGGCTGGCCTCAGATTCACAAGAGATCTACATGCCCCTGTCTCCCAAGTGCTGGGATTAAGGGTGAGCTGAGCCCTGTTTCTTTTTTAAGAATTTCTGTATCTGCCGGGCGTGGTGGCACATGCCTGTAATCCCAGCACTTGGGAGGCAGAGGCAGGTGGATCTCTGTGAGTTCAAGGCCAGCCTGGTCTCTATAGAGAGTTCCAGGCCAGCTGGAGCTATAGGGAGACCCTGTCTCAAAAGACCAAAAATAATAAATAAATAAATAAATAAATAAATAAATAAATAAATAAATAAAGTAAAGAGCTGAGTTAATCTCAGCATGAGAGAGGCAGGTGAAATTGGGGGACTGGAGAGATGGCTCAGAGGTTAAGAGCACTGGCTACTCTTGCAGAGGACCCAGGTTTGGGTCCCAGAACCTACATGACAGCTAAAAACCCTTCATAGCTCCAGTTCCAGGGGAATCCGACACCCTCTTTTGACTTCCTTTGGTATTGCAGGAAACAGGAGCACTTACATATACTCATACAGGCAATACACTCATATACATAATAATAATATAGAAATAATGATAAAATATATAAATAATAAATATTTAAAAAAATGTATGTGTCTGAGTGTTTTGTCTGCATGTAAGTGCACCTGTGTAAGTGCACCTGTGTTGTGCTATGCCAGGGGAGGCCAGAAGAGAGTGTCAGATCCCTTGGAACTGGCGCTACGGAAGATTATTAGCTGTCTTGTGGGAACTGAACCTGGCTCCTCTGCAAGAGCAGCTAGTGCTTTTAACTGCTGAGCCAGCTCTCCACCCCAACCCTTTTGTTGTTGGTTTTTTTTATACAGGGTCTCCTAGTAGTCCCAGCTGGCTTGAAACTCACTATGTAGAGCAGGTTAGCCTGGAACTCAGAAATCCTCCTGCCTCTGCCTCTAGAGTGCATGTGCCACTGTGCCTGGCTAAAGGGTCTTAATGTAACCACTTGTCTAGAAGGAAGGAGGATATTCAAAGACACACTTGAACCCAGGTCCTCTTGCAAGAGCAGCCAGTGCTCTTAACTGCTGAGCCATCTCTCAGCCCCTAAAAAATATTTCTTAAGCTCGTACAGGGGTGCATACCTGTAGTCCCATCAGCAGGGAAGCTGAGGCAGGAGGGTCACTTGAGCCCAGGAGTTTAAGACTGTTCTAGACAACAGCAAAAACCCCATATTAAACAAAATGGGTTTTGGTGGTTTGCTTTTTGTTTTTTTAAATTATATCTTGAAAGTCCCTTTTGGATTCTAAGTACCTCCATGAAGAGACTGGAGTCTGAAGATATGCAGCACCAGCTCACCCACAGACCAACCAGGGCCTCTGACTGAGACTCCTCCACCATCTAGATACTAGGGAAGCTTCTAGTTGGCTTTCAAACCTTGCCTAGGGCACTAACTCAGTCCTTGAGAGATCACCTCACCTCACTGGCAAGATAGGCACAGGCCTCCAAAGAAAAGAAGGTCAGCATCAATGATTTTATCCAAAACTTTGCAGTCAGAAAAGTTAAAAGGAAAAAAAAAAAACCAAGTTGAAGATATAGCTTAGTAGCAGGTCACTTGCATTGTTGGTGGACACTCAGAGAGATAGGACATAGGCTTTCAGCTGGAAGCAGCATTTACTTGCCAACACTAGCTCAATGTTTTGACATCCAAAGACTTAGACCCGAATGAAGCAGGGCATTGCCTTATGTACTGGACAGCTTCAGTTGTCAACTTGACACACCTAGGTAGAGGGAGCCTCAAATGGTGAATTTCCCCTATTGGACTGGCCTGTGGCCTTGTTTGTGGGGCATCATCTTGATTACTGAGTGATGTGGGAGGGCCCAGTCCACTGTGGGTGGTGCCACCCCTGGGCAGGTGGGCCCATGTTGTATAAGAAAGCAGGTTGAGGGGCTGGAGAGTTGGCTCAGCGGTTAAGAGCACTGACTGCTCTTGCAGAGGACCCAGGTTTGATTCCCAGCACCCA